ATCATATCTCGCTGGAAATGTTACAACTCACTTTGCCTCAATCGTTGGGAGCGATCACAAGCATAATAAACCACTCTATTGCTGAATGCAAATTTCCAGATTCGTGGAAACAGGCAGTCGTAAAACCTCTACCTAAAAACGCACAGCCTATGTCTATGAGTGATCTCAGGCCAATAAGCCTGCTGCCCTGCGCATCGAAGATTTTAGAGAGAATAGTTTGCGACCAGCTTACCGAATATGTCGAGACCCACGACCTGCTGCCTCGATTACAATCCGGCTTCCGTAAGAGCCGTGGTACGGCAACGGCTTTATCGGATATAGTGGACCACCTCTTGGCTGCTCAAGATCGTGGTATGGTTAGTGCCCTATTGCTGCTGGACTGCTCCCGCGCATTTGACTGCATAAACACAACACTTCTTTTATCCAAGTTGAAATATTATGGCTTCGACGTCAAAGCAAAAAAATGATTTTGCAGTTATTTGACAGATAGGCAGCAATTGGTGGAGATGTCTGCTGTTGATGGCACAAAATTACAATCTCGTTCTGTCCCAGTTACCCGAGGCGTGCCCCAGGGCTCCTTGCTGGGACCGATTTTGTTTATTCTGTACAGTGCAGATTTGATCGAATGTATACAAGAATGCAAATATCATTTGTATGCAGATGATGTGCAGCTGTACTACTCTTTCAAGCCAAGTGACATCAACACTGCTGTAGATACACTAAACAAAGACCTTGCAAGAATATCTGGTTGGTGTCGGTCAAACTGCCTAGTACTAAACCCTCTGAAATCTAAACTTCTACTCACAGGCACCAAAAGCAATATTAGTAAAATAGATCCAAATCTGCTCAATATTCACATGGACGGGATAGTTATAGAGCGAGTATACTCGGCAAGGAGCCTGGGCTTGACTTTGGACAGTCAACTCAATTTTGAGAATCATATTGTGGAATGTGCGCGCAGCTGTTTTTATAGATTGAAGCTGTTATACAAAATTAGACAATATTTACCAGAAAAACTAAGAGTCACGCTATGCGAAGCCTTGGTCTTGTCCAAATTTAACTACTGCGACACTGTCTATGGTCCATGCTTGCTAGCTAGATCGTCGCGACTTATTCAGCGAGTGCAGAATGCGTGCGCCCGCTTTTGCTTTCACATACCACCGCGAACTCATGTCACCCCATTTTTGAACTCAGCAAACATGCTAAAGATGGAGGCCCGTAGGCGCTTGGATCTGACCACATTGATGTTTGGTATCATCCGTACGGGCAATCCAAAATACCTAGAAGCAAAATTAGTATGGGCACAACAACGTAGCAAGTATCAGCAGAGGTCTTGCACTCGCATCTTCTGCACTCCGACACACCAAACCGCAGCCTTTCGTGGGTCTTTCCGATTTGCTGCCTCCAAGTGTTGGAATGACCTTCCTCCTCCGATGCGAGATCTAAAATCGAAACACACGCTGAAGATTAAATTGAAGCAACACCTACTGAAGTTACAATGCATGCAATAATTCTGAAACACATACCTCAACCGTTCCATCTACTGTAAAATCATTACATCTATTACAAAATCATTAAAAGGGAACACGCAGCGACATTAAACCATGGGCGAACAATCGCACTCAATGAATATTTTGAGGGAAACCTCATTTTGATTACTAATTATTTATATCGCAAAAAGTGACAAGCCAAGTCACAGATTAACCACACTAACATAACACAGCTTATTATACTGGGTTACATATATATTTATTTATTTATTAGATTTTTTTCATTTTTGCACTTATCACTATTTATGTAATTATAAATCTATTTGTATTCTTGATTAAATTTATTATATTGTTGTGTGTATACCAAAAAACCGTGCACCATACAGGCCCTGTCAGAATACCAGCGTTGTCGTGACACGTTTAGTTACATGTCACGGCAGCATTATGCTGAGGCAGGGTCCTGATTGACCAATATGAAGGCTGTTAGGTTAAGAAAATTGTGTAATGCTTACTTTTTATATATGTTTTTTTTATTTTAGCAGTTTATAATTTTTATGTTTGTATTTTATTGGTCAATAAAATGGTTCTCTCTCTCTCTCTCTCAATCTGAATCTGAGTGCACTCTGGCCGCACCCGTAGCCTTACCCTGATAGCATCTAATTGTCTGTGGGTCTCATCTTGACAAAAATTAAATTTGACAGTAGTACGTCTTTATCATGCTCTATTGAGAATGAACAGAAGAGACTGGTTTCAAATTTAGTTTTAAGAATGTGATTACCAGAATTAGGCCCATTTTTTTAAATTTCTGTACTCATTCTGGGAAGGCAAAGGTATTGCCCATTATGTCTAATGTCACAGAAGTACAGCGTTACCAGATTGGGGTATTTTCGCAATTCTGGGGAAAATTTTGACTCTGTGGGAAATTTTTGGATTTAGTATCTTAGGGGAAACTGTGAAGAAAATAAATACATTATGGAGAATTTTGGGGATAGCACTTCTAAAACATATAGCAATGAAATACACGCCCTTTTCATTTCACTTTCATCCTGACTAATATGTAAGAATCAAGAGCCATTTCAAAATAGTCTAGCTAGTTAGTCTATAACTGTCTCTGTCTGGTCAATAAGTTCAAGATCTTGTCACTCCTATTGTTATTTTACATTATGTGATTGTAGTTGACCTCAATAATTGTTAATAAGTTTTAGGTAATTTTGTGATTGATTGTGCAGAGGTGTTGATGTTAATACTGGCGTGATTACTCACACTAATAATTGTCCTGACTTACTCACGTACAGTCTTTATAATCCAACACACAATTACACACACATATTAAAGTACAGAAGGAAGTGCACAAGAAGAATAGATAGTTCGGAATGTAAGCAAAGCACAAAACACAGCACAGATAATTAGGGCTATAATATTGCAATATTATTAAGCAAAAGCACATAACGAGACGATTGACTGATATGCGTGGCTGCGCTGTGCGCTCGCGCTGCTTGTATAGGGAAACCGGTACGGCGACTATTGAATTGTACGTTTCCATTTCACGACGGCGAGTGGGCCATACCGTATCATCCGGCAAATGTTCGGATGATGTAAATAATATAATATGCAGATAAATATAATTCTGTATAAAGATAATTTTAGTGAATATTAAATTGTGCATAATTATTATAAAATATATTTGTGTGTTGTTAAATAAATATAAGTTTAAAATAAGTGTATATGTAAGTGAAATGTAAATATAATTAAGTATGTGAATTAATTATGTAACTATATTATGTATAAATAAAGAAATTAAGTGTAAGTCACCTACAATTGATAACACTCTCAGAAATAAAACAGGGAGTCAAAAAGGAGTTTTTGACTCTCTTCTTAGTACAAGGTCTCCCAGAGTAGATTTGCAAACCGATGGCACTCGATAAATTAATTTTGAATTTGTCTCTGAGTTCGATTGAGCGGTAGCATTGTGTAAGGACCATGGCCCGGGGTGGCAGGAGCCATATAAATGCATCGTTATTGACCTATATTTTGATTTGAATTACTAATACTAGGTTTGGGATGCAAATTGTAATTGGCGCGCCCTATGCGTCAGTGAAAATAGTAAAAATGTTATCTTTTTTGTGTTTTTTATAGTAACAAAGCGATTGGGGGTTTTCCTTTAGAATTTTTTATAATTTTTGGGGAAATATAAAAATCAGTTTGGGAGAAATCTTAAAATTACATCTGGCAACCCTGCAGAAGTGGCAGTGGCTGGGGAGTTTTTGGCGGGATTTCATCGAGTGTGGTTGGTGTCATAATTTAATAATTCTTAAATTTGTTCATAGTGGATATTGAGAAATAAAGGTCATTGCGCACCTTAGTATGGAAACCATACCCATAGCGGACACAAACCAAATAGAGCAGACTGTATTGATACATGGCTCTGATTTACTATGGCATTAGTCACATTAATGTGAGCCACGGGAATCTCGAAAAATTCTAGTGTTATTAACTGATTTAAGGAAGATGAATAAAATGCAAATTCGTTAGAATATTTTTTATTCAATTTGATCCTCAAGCATAAGATCGTTTAAAAAATCAGCGGGTGCATCTGTTGCTTCCTGATGTCTGGCCCAAGACAGATAATTAACTATGCTAGCAATATGGGTGCAGCACCCGACAGTGCGGCGGCCGTGTACATATGAGCAGTAATACTCTTCTATACTTCTCTGTTCTCTCTTATGTTAGGTGTATATATTATCTTCGTCTGGCCGCCGTCTAGCGTTAATGATTGCCGCAGTTATTTTAAAATCAGGCAACATATTTCGCATCGCAACATTAAAATCTTTCTTTACTCGTCCCAAACACGCCAATGTAGTCGATAAAATCGTAACGATAGTTAACGAAGGACTGCGCGGTGGGCGGGGAACAGTGCGCGAGCGCAAAGAAACTTCTTCGACCTGTCTAATGTGTGAAAGAGACAGCGTATACATGCCTCTAAACATTGGCTCCTCCGTGCACCATGCTCTATGGTATAGGAATTCTTTTCATGCCTTTATAAGATGAAATAAAATCCTCCGAAACTGTTTATTTTTTATTTTTTTAAACGATTCTGTACATTTTTCTCCATCGATTATAAATTAAATAAATATAATATGCATTGACAGGTCATATTATTCTCCTTAGTTTAAAACTATTTTGGTTAATGTACGCCACTTTTAGCTATGTGGGTCAGATATGCCCAATGACCTTTAGTGTGATGTTGTGTTACAACTGTCTGCGCAACTAAAGAATTAGTGGAATCTTTAAAATATACGCTATTCCGGTTAAGTGGACGTGAGAACTTTATTGTACTGTTGACTACCTCATAGAAGCTTATCAGAACAGCCAACTCGATACATTTCGTGCCAAACACTCCAACTAACATTAGAATGAGTCACACCAACATTCTTATGTCAAAAAAAAGATGTAACTTAAGACTTGGCTGTATGGGTATTGTTCCCTTTGCCTTCCCTGAAAAGGGAGAATCTTAAATTAGAAAAAAAGGCAGTGGCTGGCAGCTTGCAGTGGCAGAAGTTAAATATTTGGAGTTTATTGTATGATTTGAAGAAGTTAATTACGAATTCCCATTTTAATGAATGGTTATTCATTGAAATCTTACATTTAATGACCTATAATGACTTTCATACCGAATTGGGAAGAATTTGAAAAATCCGCTGAAATGTTGTATCTTAGAGATCCCATGAATACACGTTATTCCATAAAGTATTCGCATTCAAAAGGAGTATTTCTGGTGAAAATTACAGACAATAAAAAGGTTTGTTAAAATAAAACACTTGAAATTGTTTCAGTTGCAGTTTACAGAAGTTACCTACAATATTGTTGATTTGGTTAGAAATGAACACGTATGCCTGCCACTTTATATGAGTTATCTTTAGCAATTTAATTAGTTATTATCTGTATGTGCGGCCGTAAGTATCGCAGGTAGAGGGTACCGATACAGTAACATTCGGCATCTAATTAAATGACTTAAAAATGGAATATCGCTCGGAACATAAGTTGATAAATTATCAAGTTTTAAGGCAAAGTTAGTTTCTGTCTTATACAAATTTTCATTCTGTATTTTTATATAAAAATCAATATAATGTAGTCCTTGTAACCACACATATCAAAAAAGTTGGAGAAACAAGCATAATTTACAGAAACAAAACAGATTGGTACAAATTTGTTCTTGAAAATATAATTTACTGCTAAATAAAATAGAAGAATTTATAAGTATAATATAAATATATTACAATAGTGAAAAAAATACAATTTAAAGTTCAAAACAGTAAGTACAACATTTAGTGTATTGGAATGGTGATTAAAAGCAAATATCTAATATTTCTAAATATTATTATCAAAATATATGATAATAATTTTACACTTAAGATAATTATGAATATGCATTCATATTTTCTTTAAAAAATGATTTCAGCAGACCTAACATTTTATGAAATATTTTCTTATTTAGGGAAAATAATTTATATCATTTTCTGAATTGAAACTATACACCATGAATTACACCTTTTAGGATGTTTTGTATACAATATAAATCAATATTTTTGTATAGGGTAAAGGTGGTATATAATGTGATTCAACCAAGAATAGGAACGACTGGGCGCCATATTGTGATGTCATAGCTGTCAACTCAAACCAAATAGGTAGAGTGAGCAAAAAAATTTTTATTGAATAAAACTTATTTACTAAAATTAAGTGAGAAAAAGCATCAGATTTTTTTATTAACATTTATTTAATAATATTTATTTATTAAGACTGTGAGAAATAACATTAATCAGAATCTAGCTCTTCTATTCCGCTCATCTCTGCATTACCGCCGGAGTAGTTATGAATAATCATGCACTATTACTAGGTCACATACGAACATGCATCCTTCATGTAAACGAAAGATTGAAATCGAGTTTCTGAATGCAACTTAGTGACATTTGGTTGACGATTTAGGCTATCAACCATTCATGGCCAAAGCTCAATAAGTGAAAAAAAAATATCTAAGATTAATTATCAATATTTGTTATTGTTTGTTTTAAATGTTTGGTTTTTATTCTGGAATTAGCGGAGTGCTAAAAAGGGTTCCAAGTTTTTTTAGCAAACCATACTTTTCAAGCAACATTTGACAGATAGAGGTCATTGGCTTTCCTATTCTTATTTGAATCGCATTATAGTACATTTACTGTATATAACAATTCTCACTATATTTATTTAAACAATATTTAAGTTTCTCAGATAACTCAAAATTTACATTGTAGTTGTTCATTCTATTTTTTTTTAAAGTATTGCTTTAAGACTGTAGTTGTAAAAATGAGGAAAAATCCTTGCTGTCAATTTTTTATAATTATCTCCTTTCAATTGGTATGAAAACAATTGAAATTATTACTGTTTATGTTCAACAAACATAAGCAATTTATTTATATTTCACAAAAAAAGCTTATGAACCACCAAAACTAGCTATCTTGATTTGTTGTCATTCAGAATATAATATGTATGAGCCCCCATTTTTAATTCAGATTTTACTTGTGAGGGTTATATTAAAAAAATATAGCCTGCCTTGACATATAAATTATAAATATGTACTACTTATTATTTATAGTTTATTTTCTAAATGATTGACAATATAATTATATTGTATTGTTTTCTAATCAGAAAACAGATGTCTTAAGTTCCTCAGATGCCTGGGCCATTTGAATACAAAATGTATATGTAGAACAGACATGTAGTCTAGACATTATGTATATTTAGTCTTTAATCAATCAAATCAAGTTCATGGGTCTGATTTGATTGTTATATCAGCAGTCTTCAAAAACCACACATTAAAAACAGTCAATTTTAGTTGTACAGAATGCTATTAATATTTTTTGTTTGTTTGTTGTAGTGTCTCCAGTACAAAACTGAGGTTCAACAAGATGTCCGAAAAATTGATAAATTTATTTCCAATTTGATACGTCATATGGCATCAAATGATAACTAATAAATATTGTTAAGTGAAATCACTATCTTTTTCTCAGCTTCCTTTCGAATCAGTCCTGGTAATCTTAGTTTCGTAATTTGTGCGCATGCTAAAAATCGGCTAAATTACTATTGGTCCATGCCACACACCTTGGGGACCTGGATATGTGGGTGTAGAGGGGGGGGGGGGGGGCTTAGTCGGGCACTGGGGGCCATTCGCCTAACGGAAATGCTTTGCAAAACGCTAACGCTTTCGATTTTATTTTGTTATTTCTGACCGTTTTTTTAATATTGATATTACCAATGCAAAAGTAAAAAAAACAGTGCGAGGCATTTGAAAACCTCAGGCGGCTAGAAATAAGAAAATGAAATCGTAAGCGTTAGTGTTTTGCAAAGCATTTCCGTTCGGCTAATGGCCCCCTGGTCCCGTTGACGCAAGGTCTCGGTTGTTGGAGGTCATGAGCTGGAGGGAAAAGATTACTTGCTCAGTGCTAGAGGGTGCCCGCCCTCTGGTGGCCGAAAACTGGGCGTTAAGAGGACAGAGTCACTGGAGTCGGAATGAGAACATCGAGGGTTGATTGCGCTTTGATGAACGGCTGCGGAACCCAGAATGACATTAATATGCGCTTACGGATCCCGAAGGCGATTCACTCCTAAGCAGCCTACAATTTTGTTTACAAGGTCTGTAAGAAGGCTTACATCAGAGCGGATGCCCAGCACGTTGCACGTATTTGGTCAGGAAATTGTAACGCATCCTACAGGCTCTTGTAGCTACTGGTGTTTGGCCAAGGCCGTGCAGAAGAACTTCTGCCAACCCTCGCTACCACCTCTGAGATGTCCAGACGGAACACTAGCTCATAAACCACAGGAGAAAGCCGATTTACTCGCAAAACTCTTTACGGCTAACTCCCGAATCCATTATTGCAATGCACTGCCACCATGATACCTCATTGTGGCATAACGATGCCTGATATTAAAATCAGGCAGCTTGAGGTTTGCGCTGAATTGCAGCTACTAGACGTCCGGAAAGCTAGTGGACCTGATGGCATCCCAGCAATTGTACCTAAAAAAGTGCAGCAGAGCGTAACGTGGGATAAAAAAAACACATTATTTAAATATTTTTTTAATTCATTTTCATTTTTTAAGTATGTGACTGCTCGATGTTTAAATCTAAAGAAAATATTACTAGAAAAATAAAAATAGTATTTTTTTAAATTTTTTCTTGCAATATTTTCTTTAGATTCAAACATTGAGCAGTTACATGCTTAAAAAATTAAATTAATGACTTTAATTGTTATTTCGTCTTTTAAATGTCTAATACTTGTAAAGGTATTCATTTGACATTGTGGGTTACATATAATGCGAGGAGATGGCGTTGCCTTGCAGCTTAAGAAAGGCTAGAAAGAATTCGATACTGCCGTTAGGGCCGCGGTAGCATAATTGATCAGTGCATTCGCCCGGATAGCAAAGGGTGCGGGTTCGAGTCCCGTCTGCTGCCAGGTCAGCGTGGATTTTTTTTAATCATAAACATTACTTATTTACAATACATTTCTTTCTGTTGCCAATTCTTCACCCAGTACATATTTTCTTTTTTACGGTATCATATTTTTTGATAACACTGGGATCATCATCAACGCGTGTGTTTAACTCAACATACGCCCGAACCATATACTTATGTTACTCTTTGGCCCGAACACTGAATAGCAGGCATGTGCGTGAGTAGAGACAAGCCGATATCGGGCCGACCGCCGTGCACCCTAGACACAGACTAGTTAGAGATACTACGTATACCCTAGATTGTCCCTGCGGCAGGCATGTCAGTAGCGTGTTATAAGAAAAGCGTATTTACGGCAAAAACGTCGCAATTGGTATTCAGCCAGCAACACAACAGGCAAACCAGTGCTGCCAACTCCAAAAAATATTTCAAGCTAAATCGACGTTAAAAAAATGCCAAAAATATGCTAAATTTTAAAAAAGATGCCAAATTATAATGCTAACCACTAATGTCCATTAATGATATTTTTTTTATATAAGAATGTAACTGTAAAGTATGTGATAAAATATAATTATATTAGGTACTTAGTGTCAATTAGTAACAACACAATTATAATAAATATATTAATATTAATTAGTAATACAGCCATTCTTTAAATTCTGTCATTAATTCCCATTCCGAATGTTTATGCTGAGTAATATTTCGCAGTCTTTGTTAAAATAATATTGGAAACAGTACAATACAAAATTACCACTACTACACGTGTAAATGTATTGTTTGTTTGCGAGACAGCCTACTAAGCTTAGCTAGTTGGCTTAATCATAAAATAACAATTCATTCATCTGTTTTCATCAATTCGGGGATTCCCGTCGCATAGTAAACACAACGAAACGCACGACGCATTGTGCCGTTAGGGTACGGCCAGAGTGCACTCAGATTCAGATTCTGAAAACAAGCGCGAGAAATAAACAGTGTAGTCGAAAGGTACGGCCAGAGTGCACTCCTGATTCAGATTCAGACTCAGAAAACAAGCGCGAGAAAAAGCAGGCAACCTGCTTAGACTACACTGTTTATTTATCGCGCTTGTTTTCGGAATCTGAATCTGAGTGCACTCTGGCCGGTACCCGTTAAAAAAGTTCTTTGATGTTCTCAACAAAAACAAAGTGTAGAACACTCAGACCAAATAAAAAGTAAAGACGGAGTCTGCCGAACAAAAAAGTGAAGCCGGTTTTTTATGTATGTAGTGCATTAGCCAGTGTTACCATAGTCATTTATAATATCCCAATATTAGAAAAATGTAATAACGTTATTTCATAACGAAAAAAATCCTAGTCTTATTCTCTAAACTAGTAAAGATTAGTTTTACACTAGCGCTAGATGCAACCTCTCGTGAGCCAAAGGTCATGCGCTTGGAGATGGAGATCTGGAGTTATAAATCACAGGAACTCCAGATCTCCAGTTTAATAACTGTTACACTAATAAAAGTTTAGTTAAAAAATATATAATAAAAACAAAGCTTAACCTTTGGAGTTTTTGGCGGGATTTCATGGAGTGCGGTTAGCATCATATTTTAATTATTCTTTAATTCATTCATAGTGAATATTGTGGAATAAAATTAGTGTAATTTTGTGTTTCAACCGTCTGCACGACTGAAGAATTATTGGAATCTTTTAAAATATAAATTAACCTAAGTAACCATATTAAGTAAAGTAAAAAAAAAACCTTTGGATATGCATTTTGTTTTACACGACGTAACCCTTTTGTTGTGTAGTACAAATCGTCGCTCTGAAAATGAGTCGAACAAACCACGCTGCGGGAAGCTGGTTGCCACAATGGTTCATTTCTAATCTTACGAATGACTGCAATCCACTTCTCTTTTAGATTTTGATCTCGATTAGGAAATCGTAAAAAAACGTATAGTTTATATACGTATTACATCCCAAAAAAAATATACGAATACATAAAGAAAAAAGATAATAAAGATGTTTCGTGTAATTGCTTATCCATGCATTACAATATTCGAATAGTATAAACTTTTATATTACATATACTACATGCTACACAATATATTTAATAAAATAACGTTACGTTATATTTCACGTTACCCAACAAAAGGGTAAAACTGTAACATATAATCATGGCAGCATTTCGTCAGGTTTTGTTTACAAAACGACAACCTCAAATTTGATTTTGATTAATTGAAAATATTAGTTTATAACTTTACTTACGTATGAAATGCGATTCCATCCTGTTTTTTATTCTTGGAAGATTGGTTTCGACACGATTTCACTACACAATTCGGTATTTTCTCTAATAAATATTGTTATTTATTATTACGTCACACTCCGCGCGCCGGGATAGCTCGACTGAAAAGCCAAGGCGTAGTTTCGTTGCATGTGTGTGCGTGTAACTGCGTATGTACACGGCGAGGCGTAGTTTTATCGGCTTCACTTTTTTGTTCGGCAGACTCCGTCTTTACTATTTATTTGGTCTGAGGTAGAACACAGATAACAAATATTATGTTTATAACGTCAAATATATTTTATTCAATTTTTTAAGATAATGGTGTCGATTCTGGCGTGATTTTCTAAACTTAAAACTAAATTTAACATCAATCTCCCCATCAATTATAGAACGACAAGGTTCTCTATACGGAATTAAAAGGAGAGATCGATGTTAAATTTAGTTTTAAGTTTAGAGAATCACACCAGAATCGTCATCACTAAATAGTTTAATTTGATTAATATTTATATCTTTATCAAAATATTGTAATGAAAGCCAGCTAAACCTGCCTAATCCGATGTTTTAGCTGGATTTCATTTGTGGAAAAATTTGAATGGAAATTACGAATTTACGTACATGGCAGTATGGAAATATTTCTTTGTCATCAGTGATGTGATAAATAAAACTATATGCAATTTGACGGCAAGACATTGGACATGTTATTTTACTGTCATGCAGTGTGAAACATAAATAAAGCATATTCGTTTTTCCAAAAATCATGACTTAATATCGAGGCCTAATCTAATAATATGATATATTACAATTAATAAATAACTATTAATTACATACTAGTTTTAATTAATGACATTATGGATGGTTTAATTCACGCGGCACTGGAGGCTGAGGTATTTCGCTACTTTCATCTGTTCTATTTCCAGTCAATTTATTAATGCTTTTTGATGTTTCTTTAATAAATCAATTTTTATTTTAGTCAATTCTTAATCGAGCAAAACATGTGAATTCCAACTCGTCTCAATTTGACAGTGGTGCCCCAGACCATAAAATGACTTGGACCCATGATAAGATGCATTTGGCAGAGTCTGTTGATGAATCCAGAATGAAATTTCAGAGAAATTCTGTTGGTTCGGGAGCATCAAAAGTAGAAAAGTTTGATTTATTCAAAAAGCTTCATGAACTTTATAATGAATTGAGTAGGGATGAGTCTTCTCAGTCTAATTATGTGAGTATTGGAAATTTGTTTTATTCATATTGTTTGATTCTCTTTGAAACAGATAACAGTTAAGACATAATAATTTTAATTTTATATTACTTTGGTTGGATTTAGTATTTACTTCAATGACGAACTTTATAATCAGACAGTATTAATATCATGTTCTAGCTAGATGGTTAAGTGATAAGTGAGACTACACTTTATTGTAGTTTCTTGTTTGTTGATTTATCTTACTGTATTTTTTTTCCTAGATTTCAATGCATCAGTCCATATAATTTATTGTGAACTGAATTTAATTCGTAGTTTGATGACATGGTGTGTTTTTATTTTTAGCAAGGATTAAAGGCAACATCATACTTATTAGAAAAGCTCTTGGCAACATATAATCTCAATACTTTGATAATTAATTTATATCCTGGTAATAAAGGTTATTCTTTGTCACTTAAAATTCATGGTAACACACAATATCTTCATCCACCTGATGCAAATGTAAGTACTTATTTTTATTTTTAAACATTTGTTCATATTTGTTTTGTACTGTGACAATATTTAAATAATTCATGAATAACTTATATTCTTATAAAATAACTATTAAATAATAGTCACAATTAATTCTTTTAACAGACTTCAGCAAATCAAGATGAGACATTAATTGAAACTCCGAGATGGCCATATGAAGAAGAAGAACTCCTGAGTTACATTGACAATGAAGAATTGCCTGTTGTTCTGCTTGATTTATTGGAATCTGAGCATTCAAATCTCTTTTATTCAGGCTGCATAATAGCACAAATAAGAGACTACCGCCAGGCTTATCCTAGTTTCTTATGTGATACTCATCATGTCCTGCTTAAGCCTACTAATCAGGTAAACCATTAAAGGGGTCTTAGTCTTAGTAGTACGGCGGGCTGTTTTCGCAACTCGACACTCAGTGCCTATTTTCACCATTAAAGGGGTTATATATTACTACTGTAACAATAGGGTACTGTTTTTAATGATTGAATAAAAATGTTCTAATCCTGTCATAACTAATTCAACATATCGCACCCCCGGTGCGACACTGTCACTTATGCAAAAAAAATATTTTTTCAGGAGAAGCGCTTAAAACTTTAACATCCCAAAACATACAATATTTAAAGCAAAGAACCACCAACAAACCACCAGCAAAACATACAGAAATTATCAGAATATTTATTATATTAAAATAAATGCAACTAGAAGTTTTAAATTAAAAAAAAATATATAACAGGCTAATAAGATATTTTTATACTTTGGACTAAAAATATTGCTTGTATGGACTATTAATTCTAATATGATTCTCTAGAATTAGGTATATTTGTATTTTATAATTCATGTATTATCTTTTTTCCCTGGTTATGGAAGTTCAGCAGCGGGCATGTTCAGACACATTTGATAGTATGAGAAAAAGTTACTTAGGAGGTTATCATCTGATGATGATAACCTCCTATTCGCTGATGCGAATGGACGTCCACTGCTGGATATAGTCCTCCTCAAGGGATTTCCATATGGAATGATCCTGCGCTTTCTGCATCGAGTGGGTTTCCCTGACTCGCTTGATGTCGTCAGTCCACCTCATCTGAGGTCTACCGACACTGCGCTTTCCAGTGCGGGGTCGTCATTGAAGCACATTGAGACCCCAACGTTCATTGGTTCACAGAGGTATGTGCCTGCCTATTGCCACTTCAGCTTGGCGATCCATTGAGCTATGTCGGTTCTTCTAGTTCTGCTATGGATTTATTCATTTCTGATTCCATTACGTAGAGAAACATCGAGCATAGCTGTCTCCATCGCTCGCTGTCGCTGACTCGGAGCTTTCTTATGAGGCCCATAGTCAATGACTGTGTCTCAGCTCTGTATGTCATCACTGGCAACATGCACTGTTTGAAGACCTTGGCCTTCAGGCATGAGGTATTTCGGACGAGAAGACATCGCGTAGTTTCCCAAACGCTGCCCAGCCGAGTTGGAGTCGGCCGTTTACCTCAATCTCGAAATTGGACTTACCCAACTGGACTAAATAGTCCAGAGTGCAGGCTAACAAATGTCCCAGATATATATATTTGTGGACAATTTCGAGTGCAGAGTTCTCAATTATTACCGAGTGGAGCAGAACACGAGCGTTAGACATAATTTTGGCCTTACTCATGTTCATTTTAAAGCCACTTGTTGAGATGCTCTGCTGATGTCGTTGAGCATTGTATTGAGATCCTCCAAAGTGTCTGCCAAAACGACTATATCATCGGCAAATCGAAGGTGAGTGATGTTCTCGCCGTTGACGTTGATGCCAAATCCGCTCCAATCCAGAAGCTTAAAGACATCTTCCAATGCAGCAGTAAACAATTTCGGGTAGATCACATCTCCCTGTCGCACTCCTCGCTGCAGTTGGATAGGTCTCGTAGTCTGGTCTTGTATGCGGACTGACATTGTGGCGTTTTCGTACAAACTCTTCAGCACTTGGATATAGCGATAGTCGATACGGCATCTCTATAAGGATCTCAACACAGCCCATGTTTCCATCGAATCAAAGGCTTTCTCATTCTCATAGTCAAAAAACGCTAAGCATAGTGGCAGGTTACATTCTTCGGTCTTTTGTGCACCTGGCGCACCGTGTGGATTTGGTCTATGGTGCTAAAGGCTTTCTTGAATCCGGCTTATTCGGGAGGCTGGAAGTCGTAACCCTATTAGCGAGACGATTCGTAATCTCTCTCGAAAACAACTTTTAGACGTGGCTCAGCAGCGAGATGGGTCTGTAATTATTCAAAAGGGCTATGCCTCTGACGTTATGCCTTTGTGAATGACTGAATTGAATGATTGCTGAAAGATTTTTCGTACTGCTTTTCCGCCCGCTTTCAGGAGTTCTGCTGTGATTTCGTCATCCCCTGGCGCCTTTTTGTTCTTCAGTTGTTTGAGATCGTTATTAATGTCATATAAGCTGACGTCCGGTATATCTTCGGTATAGTGGCGGGTTAATTTGGGTCTGGGGTCTTTAGCCAAATCATCAACAGGTTTTTGTGTTGAGGTGTACAATTGCCCATAAAATTTCTCGACCTCCCCCAAAAGCTCAGCTTCGAGGAGAAAAGACTACCGTTTTCGTTCTTCGGCCGCGTCAGCTGGCTCTGTCCGATAGACAGATCTCTCGCAAACACTTTCGTGCCTTTTTTGTTTATTTAAGGTATCTTTAATCCTTTAGGTATTGAAGAACCTATAGTCACGTGTCTGTGACTTGGAGATCTACCTATTACTTTGCTGGTAGGCTGCCGCATGAAGACTGTAGTCTCTTATTTTGCCTTTCTTTCATGAGCCGGAGAGTGTAGTCAGAGAACCTTTTATGTCCTTTTGTTCTGTGGGTGTTACAGAATTTGGACCCCACTTCATGGACAGTTTCCACCGACCTGTTTTCACCCTTTTGATCACTGAGAGCATTGTATATGTGCCGTTTTGTCGACATGATGAATTCAATCTCATTTCTCGTTGAACCATCAGGGCTTAGCTACGTCCACTTCCTATTGGGTGACTTCTTGAAGTCAGCCAGTCAGCCAGCATTTTGGCCCCTTTGGTTTCGTTGTCCATACCCGAATTTACCTACCCTCAACTAGAAACCGTCTCGCTCGCCCAGTTTTGCGTTAAAATTAACAACACTGTAGTAAGAGAAGTTATGTAACGAAAATATAACTAAAAAAAAATCCACGCGGACCAGGCAGGCAGCAGACGGGATGTGAACCCGCCCTTGCACCCTTGGACTTGAACCCTCGCTATAAGGGCGAATGCACTGACCAATTATGCTCCGCGGCCCTGATGGCGCGTCGAAATTCTTCTAGCCATTCTTAAGCTGCAAGGCAGCGCCATCTCTTCGCATTATAGGTAACCCACAATGTCAAATGAATACTTTTACAAGTATTAAACATTTGAAAGAAGAAATAGCAATTATAGTTATAATTTTTATTTTTAAGCATGTAACTGCTTGATGTTTAAATCTAAAGAATTCTTTCTCAATTTTCTTTAGATTTAAACATCAAGCAGTTACATGCTTAAGAATACAAATTATAAAAAGTTATAATATTTATAACCAGCATTTTAATTTATGGCGCCAATTTTCACTAAATTGCTTAGGAGTTTTTGCTATAGACTGAGCGGCCGGCTCAGAGATTGCGTTTCTGGCAGGTCGTGTCAGTTCCTTATGTCGACAGAATAAAGCGCACTTTAGATCTAATAAAAAAAGATGTTCGAAAATTAACTCTAATGCTATCACCATAAGGAATTGACACGACCTGTCAGAAACGCAATTTCTAAGCGGCCGGACTATAGTCGGTACAAAATTGAATTTCAAGTCGAATGTCATAGATTACTCATTTTGACCCCGAATATCAGTTAGGAGGTATTCTAACATAGTGGTCGATTTGAATTTGATTTGTTCTTTTCGCAGAGCATAATAACTGACGCTATGTGTATCGGCGGTCGTTGTGGTTGGGCGGGTGAAGAACGTGGCGCATTAGAAGCAGTGGAGGCAGCTTTAGTTCACGCTGCGGCTCCTCCGCTATGCCTCGACCCGCGTCCTGCTGTAGGCTTACTGGCAGCTAGATTGCATGCCACACCAAGACTATTCAATACACCCCGCATCAGGCGGCAAGCCAAGAAATTTTCACAGGTAAATTAGGATAGAGATTTTGATCGACCTATAATATGGACGCCTTGGAATCATAAATTAAATTCTTATAGCTGCAACATTATATGGTGTAGAGTAAATTTGCCTTTAACGTATAAAACATCATTAATATTGAATCATAATATGAGTGAAATAATGTCCAAAATAAAGTTTTTTTGTGAATTTTTTTTTTCAAATAATTTTTAGGTTGCTGTAAATAGGAAAAGAAAACTGGATCAATTTACTCATTATCACGGTTTAGAATTACTGGAGCTGATACACAGGCAAAGAGCGAAAAACAGCCGGCAGTCAGTTCCACATACTCGACTCACATCAAAGTATCCTAAGAAACCTCCAGAAGTAAGCAACTATTTATTTTTGCATTATCAGAAATATGTATGAATTTATTTTTGTTCTCTACTCATTTTTTTAGGGTTACCGTACCTCAAAAGGAAAAAACGGAACCCTTATAGAATCACTTTGTTGTCCGTCTGTCAAGACCGTTGTTGTCAGGAATGCGTGGTGTCAAACTGAATTTTCGAAACTCGCACGGAAATCAAAACCTACAGGGTACTTCCCGTGAACTTAGAATCTTGAAATTTGGTACGAAGTAACGTCTTATAGTACAGATAAAGGAAAAATTGCGAAAATCATAAATTTTTAGTTACAACATATATTAAATAATATTTTTTATTAATTATTAAAATATACCTACAGGTTTGTACGGAACCCTCGGTGCGCGAGTCCGACTCGCACTGGCCGGTTTTTTAATTCATTGTGTAATTTGCCCGTCCGCGATTTTAAACTGCACGCATGCGAAATTGGGCTAGTAGTAGTAGTGGGGAGTTAGGACAGTTGACGCTATCCCCGTCGCTGTGCGCTTTACATTTTAGTACATTTCTTTTCATCGTTCGTCGCGTCTCTCTAAAGCGCCTTTCTCACCGGATCAGTGAGGTATCATTTCGTTTTCGTACCGAAACTGCACAGATTTTTTACCGAGTGCATGAAATCATGTGAGAGCTTTTTCAAAGAGACAATTCGGTACAGAATCTTTACCGAGCGGATACACAGCTTTCTGTACCGAGTGCTTCTCAATGCTACCGAACCATTCGACTCCCCCGTCCCGTTACTCCCGCAAACAAAATGAAAGGATACCGCACTGAAACCGAGCCGGTCGAGAAGTGGTTCTCGGTCAATAATCTGTACAGATTCGCTACAGAAACGAAAACGAAACGAACTCGCACTGATGGTGAGGAATCACCGCTCATAGTGACTCAGCCGTAAAATTATAAATGAATATTTTAGGTGTTCAAACCGATAGAGCCTCCAAAAATGGAGCCACTCTCACTAGCGTTGCCATCAGAGCTAACGGGACCAATACGGTTGGCTCGAGCGTACGAACGGCCTCGACCAACTCCAGACTGTCAACCACAGTTAGTCGAGGAATACATTCTGGAAACTGAGAAGACTTCGCCACACGCTGGAGCTGGTTTTTTCCACATAAAGCTCTCGATATTGCAAAGACCGTCAGACCAAGAGTTCCTAGGAGAGTTATATGTAGATAGAGATCATGTAGAAGGTGAAAGGAATGGTGCTGCATGTAGATTTACACTAGGTAAGAGTTTTACTCTCATTTTCTATGAAATTCAAAAGGAAAACATCTATTTTACGATTTATTAATGTATAGGATCGAGAGTGCAGGCTAACAAGTACATACAGCAATTCACGGAGATATTCACAGAAGAAGGACGGAAGTCTGTTAGGATAAAGCACATTGTACCAGGCCAATTACCAAGAGTGTCGTTTACAGGCGGTATGCGTGAATTGGTAAGAATGAAATAAGCATACTATTAAATATAAATTACTTTATTTCACCACTTATTTTCATTACGCACATACGCCTAAAATTGATTAACTGTTCATGTACTATAAATGATATTGAAATTACACACAAATATAATTAGATTCACCATATCTGATTGCAATTCGAAATCCGTCTAAATATTGCGTCCCGCTCTTAGTTATATATCTATATATAATGGATATTAGATCGTTTGTGTGGTCACAAAAACTTTTGATGGCTATTAATAGTTATTGTTGATTTAAAAATTAGTATTTGAATCTGCAGGGACAACAGCTTTTGTTGCAACAGCGTTCAGCATCCGCAAGTAGTTCAACTGTGCAAACGCACGCTACCACAGTACCTATTGTGTAAGTTAACTATTTAAAAATTTGTAATGCCGGCACTTACATGGCTGTTCGTGTTTGCTATTTGTTATTTTGACAGCAGGTTGTCCTTATCATATTTTATAGAAAGAAAAAAAGGAGAGTCTGTCAAGTTTACATATATTAAATGAGAATAGCCATGTAAAGTACCGGCAGTAGAATCAGAATTCAGTCTGGTATATAATACTTAAAAGGTAACTTCTTGCCGTTCTTTTACAGGACGTCTGCCGTAGCAGCGACTCCAAATACTCATACCAATGCGCGACAGTTACCTATACTGGTTAGTAAATATCACCAACATCGAATAGTTGAATTCTATCTCGATACGCGTCAAATGTCAAGTAGTTTTGTATGTAAATTTGAACAGTGCCGCAACGGACGTAATATTTCCTACGTTATAAAGTAAATAATGAAATTTAAAAGACAATATACATTCATATTCTCTATTGGTGTAAGCGTTAGAAATATTTATTTATTTATTAGCAGGCTCAACTGCAGCAAGTTGGTAGCATAAGCGGCGTCACAGCCGTGGGCAGTGTTGTGGGTAGCGTGGGCGGGGTCGCTAGCGTGGGAAGCGTGGGCAGTGTGGGTAGCGTGGGCAGCGTGGGAAGTGTGGGCAGCGTGGGCAGTGTCGCTGCAGAGACTGCGATGAAGCAGCAGCCGTCGCCAAGCACGCCGCGTTTATCACCGCAGGTAAGTTTTGACGTCGTTTTCAGGTTTAACAGGTTTTCTAGACTCGCTGAATTTCCACTAAGTAGGGAAAATTTGTTCAGGTTTGTTTGCTCTGTGTCATACATATCTCTTACGCAAGACATCTTCGTAACTGGGATAAAGTAATTTCAAGCTAGGTATTCTTTTTTAGAAAAATGGAAAACTTTTAAGAGTTGGTTTTGCACTTCTGCTTTCTCTTTGAAATATCAACGTAATATTTTCTATATTTCTGTGTTAGTTTATGCTTATAGGTAGGAATTTAACATGGCCGCGTAAGTTAGATGATCTTTGCTGCTCAAGGTACTTTTCTTATATTGTGAAATGAAAAGTAAATATACTTGATCCAAAATCTTATTTGAATTATCTATTCTCACCACGAATAATTTTTAGGTTCACGACATCCATTCGACGCAAGCGTCGACCAATCAGTTGCTCGCTCAACAGCTGACAAACCCACCGCAACCTTTAAACCCTCAAAAGATGCAGTCTGCCATCATACATATACAACATCCACTTATATCCACCGCTGGCACCTCACAGGTAAACCTTTGGAGATTCTAGTATTCATTCTAGTTTTCAATAATTTTAAATTAACATAATAGTAATATTATGTTTTATATAAGGGGCATTCCACGCGAAGCGGACAGGTAAAAAAACTCGATGTTTCCGATTTCAGTAATATTTGAGTATGTTCTACTTATACTTATTATTGATACGTGTACCAAATATTTTTGTGATATAATGACTAGTTAAAGAGTATTGGGACTTAGAAGTTTTCGACAACCGGTTGGCATGCAGTACTTGAAAGCCGATTATGGACTCATAAAATTATATATTAAAATAACTAAACCACTGGATTTCCTACTTTATTTACTGGGCTTTTTAACTGTGTTTTTGGGAAAAGAAAAAAAACTTTTTTTTCGTAAACAAAAACCAATTTAACTTTTTTTCCTTGATTTTCACCAAGTTAGACCATTTAGTTTTTTTTTATTTTTTTTTATATAAATTGCTAATATTGTGTAGAACATTGGTGCCAACTTTTATAATGGGTGTGAAATTGGATTAGGAGCTAGACTGAAAATACTGCCGAAGGGTGGCGTCCAGCGCCGCGCCTGTTGACCGCCGCTTGTGCGCGATTAGTCATCAAACTGTATATCAAATAAAATCACTTTGGATGGAATGTTTTGTAGATTTTTAATAAAACCAATACATAGAAAAAAATCCACGCGGACCAGGCAGCAAACGGGACTCGAACCCGCACCCTTCGCAATCCGGGCGAATGCACTGACCAATTATGCTACTGCGGCCCTCACGGACCGCGTCGAAATTCCTCTAGCCATTCTTATTAAGAATTAATCTTAAATATTAAAATTAATCATACTTGGGGAGGGGGGGGGGGTCTCTGTTTTTGTGAAGGAATATTTCAAGAGGGGTCACAGAAAGTGTGACACAGCGTGACAATAGGGGGGGAGGGGGTCGGAAAAAGCTGATTTTAGTGTGACGTATTTTATGAACGGCCCCTAATATAACATTTTGGATTACCTATAATGCGAAGAGATGGCGCTGTCTTGCTGCTTAAGAATGGCTAGAGGAATTTTGATGCGGTCCGTGAGGGCCGCGGTAGCATAATTGGTCAGTGCATTCGCCCGGATTGCGAAGGGTGCGGGTTCGAGTACCGTTTGCTGCCTGGTCCGCGTGGATTTTTTTCTATGTATTGGTTTTATTAAAAATCTACAAAACATTCCGTCCAAAGTGATTTTATTTGATATACAGTTTGATGACTAATCGCGCACAAGCGGCGGTCAACAGGCGCGGCGCTGGACGCCACCCTTCGGCAGTATTTTCAGTCTAGCTCCTAATCCAATTTCACGCCCATTATAAAAGTTGGCACCAATGTTCTACACAATATTAGCAATTTATGTAAAAAAAAATAAAAAAAAAACTAAATGGTCTAACTTGGTGAAAATCAAGGAAAAAAACTTAAATTGGTTTTTTTTACCGAAAAAAAAAATTTTTTTTCTTTTCCAAAAACACAGTTAAAAAGCCCAGTAAATAAAGTAGGAAATCCAGTGGTTTAGTTATTTTAATATATAATTTTATGAGTCCATAATCGGCTTTGAAGTACTGCATGCCAACCGGTTGTCGAAAACTTCAAAGTCCCATTACTCTTTAACTAGTCATTATATCACAAAAATATTTAGTACACGTATCAATAATAAGTATAAGTAGAACATACTCAAATATTACTGAAATCGGAAACATCGAGTTTTTTTACCTGTCCGCTTCACGTGGAATGCCCCATAATCATGATATTTTTTACATTTTAGGTACAAAATATCCAATACACTACAACGACGACAACTCAACAAAAGGCGACCATCACCAAACCGAGGACAACAAACCCAGCCATAAGCGCACTCGTCACTAGTCTAATGAACTCTGCACAACAGTTCCAACAAGGTCGGTGCCCATTTTTTTTGGAAATGCATCATTCATTTGTATCTTTTGATTCAACGAAAAATCATAAATAATGCATGATTTTTGTATTCATTTGTAGCAAATCAAAATGCTGCGAAAACGGTAGTAACTACAGCGGGTAACAACGCCACCATACTGAACTTATTAAACAGTGCGCCCGCTGCCATGACGCATGTGACGTCGACAGCGGATACGAGTATCGACGCGCACAAGCTACTAGGCCGCGTGTCTATAGCCGGGGCTCGCCTGATAGCCGCTACTACCGCCCCGCACACCCTGCCTACGTATACGCAGCAGGTACGTATGTCATATCACACAGTCGCACGCACACGAGTATCGACGCGCACAAGCTACTAGGCCGCGTGCCTATAGCCGGGGCTTGCCTGATAGCCGCTGCTACCGCCCCGCACACCCTGCTTACGTAGACGCAGCAGGTACGTATGTCATATCACACAGTCGCACGCACACGAGTATCAACGCGCACAAGCTACTAGGCCGCGTCTCTATAGCCGGGGCTCGCCTGATAGCCGCTACTACCGCCCCGCACACCCTGCCTACGTATACGCAGCAGGTACGTATGTCATATCACACAGTCGCACGCACACGAGTATCGACGCGCACAAGCTACTAGGCCGCGTGTCTATAGCCGGGGCTCGCCTGATAGCCGCTACTACCGCCCCGCACACCCTGCTTACGTAGACGCAGCAGGTACGTATGTCATATCACACAGTCGCACGCACACGAGTATCGACGCGCACAAGCTACTAGGCCGCGTGTCTATAGCCGGGGCTCGCCCGATAGCCGCTACTACCGCCCCGCACACCCTGATTACGTAGACGCAGCAGGTACGTATCTCATATCACGCAGACGCAAACACACGAGTGTCGACTCGCACAAGCTACTAGGCCGCGTGCGTGTCTATAGCCGGGGCTTGTCGAATAGCCGCTACTACCCCTTATAGGAAAAAATACCTGAATTTTCTATATATTCCATATCATTTTTATATTTGGGTAGAGATCACTTCGGTTACATATACCCTGCACGCATGCCCGGCAAGGTGTGGGCGATGGGGGAGAGGTATTACCGTCTTCTAAATAAGGAAGAATCATATAGTAAAGTCAAACGACATTGGGAACATTTTGCCTCACTTATTGAAAAGGACACAAACGAAACCTATTTCAAAGGAAGGTTACAATTATCTACTTTATCCCTGTGCAGTTTTTATGTCGGGGCTATTTTGAGGCTGGGCTAAGATATAATTCTCGTTATATCGCATTACTCCCGTGGAGAAATGCCACTGGGGTATTTTGCCATAATTTATTAGTTCCCAATGTCGTTTATTTAAGGTATTTTTATTCCAGATTTTTCTCAAAAGTAGGAAAAGCTTTACTCTTACTCTTCTTTCTTATTTAAATTTAATCACATATCTATGTCACACACGACAGTGTTATTAAATACGCAAACCGTGATTTAATTAGATATTTTTTCAGTGAAGCTATTCTCAGTTGTGTTTCTTATTATCTCAGGGCGTAGGTGTCCAAGTGATGAGCGGATACACTCGGGACAATGAGCCCACGAACGTTTCCAGCAGTGAAAGCGCATTGCTGGAAAGGTTGATCGGCCAATCGGCCGCGGAACCGGTAGCGGCGCCCGCTTCGCAACCACAGCCCGTTTGTCATTTGCAGGTACTTTAGCATTAACAGGTTAGATTAAAACAAAAAGGGAAGATATGCTACGCTCATACTAGCATCAAATAAAATATGTTCCGGCTCAACTACATAAGCAACTCTCACACACGCACAAGTTTGTATATAAACATTCAATCGAGCGAACGAGACAGAACTGTACGCTTCAACACAGCGCGAGCGAAACGGCGAGTCCACTTCCGAGTGATTTATGAGAAAAATATTTTTGTACAGTTTTACGAATGAAAAGTGTTCCCGAGTTATATTGAGTACACATGCAGCGCGTTTGAATGTCCAATTGTGACTAAATGCGAATTGTGGTCAAGCAATAATTTAAGCGGATCACTTTGCAACGAAGTTGGAATTTAAGATTAACAGTGAATTATAGCTTGAACGCTGTAGTGTCGATCCGGGCAGAGGGAGTGGAATACGCCCGACCAATCAATCAGTAGCTTGTCGGCTGCCGACAGCAATTGACGTTCACCGTCAGAGCTCGCGTGGATGCGGCTTTGTGTCCTCTACACATGAGATGAATTTGCGGCTTTGCATACAACAAACATGGAATTATCGAGTCTACGTAATTAACAGTTAAGAAGTCAAGCAAAGAATATACTTTTAAATGTGGTGAATGACATAAATATATTTTCCTTGTAACAATAGTAATGACAAGACTAAGGCCCGTATTACAGAATGACAACTAAGTGTTGATCTTTACTTGAGTACAGTTAGAAAGGGATGTCGCTATGTGCTGTATATAGCGACATCCATTTCTAACTATGCTCAAGACTAGATCAATCACTGAGAATCTTTCTATAATACAGGCCTAAGTATTACATTGAAGTAAATGTAGGTACATTTTACTACAAAGTCAATTATTTATATCTAGGAAATTATTACACTAATACATTAAATTAATATATTACTAATACAAACACTTTTGAAATAACAACACGAGGATTTAATGATCATGAGATATCTCGCCCCGTCGGCAACGCCGTGCGCACCTTTGCGGCAGTCAAGCTATAGTATGAAGATGAAGTGAACAAGGGCTCGATCGTGCTGAATGGAATCCATTATTCACTGCCAGCGCCTATGGTACCAAAAAACACCACCAGTTTATCAGTGATCACCAGTGCGGTTTTCGTCGGAGTCGCTCAGCTGATGGTGATCTCGTAGTATACTTGAAGCATCGTTGGGTAAAGGCGATCGAGACAAAGGGCGAAGCATTCAAATTGTTAAATGAAATATATGACAGCACGTAACTAGTGAATATAAAGCGTCATAATATTCACTAGTACGAATCATAAAGACCCCTCGCCCCGTAAAGATTGATCGATTGTGATTTCATATTACATATCCACATATTGAGTCCAGTGGTTTATTCGTCAAAGGACAAGTGCTAATAGCTGCAGGTTAATCAGGCACGACTAAAGGCTTTACATGTTTCATCAAAGCACTGAGGAATTTGGGTTTAGAAATTTTAGAAATTCATCCAAGGACTGAACTGATGATCTTTAAGGTAATGTGTTAACCAAAACTTGTTAAGTACTGCGCTATCGATAAAATGATGGAAATAAACGATATATCTATCGATCAGCTGTTTGCTTTTTCTCTTATTTCAAGTGTCAAGTTAGATACCATGTATTAATATTACAGTATAAATAATATTTTTTAATTTGTCTCAGGGTCTAAGTTTAGTATCCCTCCAAGGCCTGCAAGCTATCCAGGGCCTCCAGAACATTCAAGTCCAGGTCACATTGTAAATGACAATTATTAATTTGTTCTAGGGTCTAAGCTTAGCATCCCTCCAAGGCCTTCAAGGTATCCAGGGTCTCCAGAACGTTCAAGTCCAGATACCTGGGTTCTCCGCTCCGATATCGCTTTCACTAAACGTCTCGGGAGCGCCTAGCGGGTTGCTAGTGTCAGTGCCGCCAACCACGTCTGTTGTCCTCACGAATCAACCTTCAGTGTTGTCGTTACCCATAGGTGAGTGACTTTTATAACTTTTTGTAGAAAAAGTTCAATATTCTAGGGATATTGAGAATTCCCGGTAACTAAGCAATGGTGTCGATTATGGCGTGATTCTCTAAATTTAAAACTAAATTTAACATCAGTCTCTCCTTTTTTTCATTATAGAGAATGACAAGGATACACTGTTGTCATATTTAAGTTTAGATTTAGAGAATCGAAAACCAGAATAGACACTGTGCCGGATAGCGACCACCGGTACTTGGTTTTCGTATAGCTTAGCCACAGAGTTTTTCAGACTGAGGTTTGGATATATTTATGGCGGTTTCATCTTTACACTACCTATAAATTATGATAAGGACAACCTGCTGTCAAAATGACAAATAGCAAATACGAAAAGAAGCCATGTAAAATGCTAGTATTAAACACAAAAACCAGCACAGTGCGACGTCAGGAAGCTGGCGTTGATGGACAAGTTCAAATATGTGTTTTATTGCCGGAACATCGGCCAGTTACAGTCTAAAGCCGAGTTCTAACGGTCCCACCAATCTTCTTGAAACGTCGGCGGCCGAATTGACGGTGCTCGGTCCACGGGTTTGCGTGGGATAATAGTAAATGTACTTTTCGGTCGCGATGGATAAACGCTCTTACGGCCGCACTCTTAAATGAGAAAAATATTTTATATTGTTTTAAGTCACTTTTTTGCGATAACAATAGCGTGAGATAATATGTTCCTTAACGGAGACTTCCGTGTATTGCGGCCCATCGCAGCCGCGCGCGATTTATCGCGTGGCTGATGCGATTAGTCAGTGTGTAAAAATGTATGGCGCCGTGCAGCTGACGTATGACGTAGGCCACACGCGTCCGTTGCAGACTTCGGAATATCATCTGCCAAACATTTTCGTACACTGACTATTGTCGCATCAGCCGCGCGCGTGTTCGCAAACGAATGATCGCGCGGGGCTACGATCGGCCGCGATCGGACGCACAGAAGTCTACCTTTAGGGTAAGACTAGATGGTGGGGATGCTGGATATATTTATTTTATAAATGTAATGTATGTATCGATTAACAGCCCAGCTGATGTCTGGCGGAGTGAAGGGCGCCGTGCGAGGAGGCTCGGTGCAAGTAGTGAGGGGGGCCCGCCCTCGACCGCCGCGCCCGCCCTCCGCCCCGCGCGCGCCCCACGCGCTCGCCACGCTGCAGCCCGCCGCGCCGGGACACGCGCAAGGTATCCCACTTCACACATATATTGTTTACGAGGGGGCTCGGTGCAGATAGTGAGGGGGGCCCGTCCTCGAACGCTGGGCGCGCCCCACGCGCAAGCCACGCTGCAGCCCGTCGCACCGGGACACCCGCAAGGTATCCCACTACACACTTAGATTGTATCACGACGGGACTCGGTGCAGGTAGTGAGGGGGCCCGCCCTCGAACGCCGCGCGCGCCCCAAGCGCAAGTCACGCTGCAGCCCGTCGTCCTATGACACCCGCAATGTATCCCACTACACACTTAGTTTGTATCACGACGGGACTCGGTGCAGGTAGTGAGGGGGCCCGCCCTCGACCGCCGCGAGCGCCCCTCGCGCAAGCCACGCTGCAGCCCGTCGCACCGGGACACCCGCAAGGTATCACACTACACACACACCTACATTGCACTAGCTGATGTATGGCGGAGTGAAGGGCGCCATGTGAGGGGGCTCGATGCAGGTAGTGAGAGGGGGAGAAATTATGCTGAGCTATTCTTATTTGCTGTTTGTAATTTTGTGAGCAGGTTGTCCTTATCGTACTCCATAGGGAGTGAATAGGAGAGACTGTTGACAAGTTTACAAATAGCTATCACGAATAGCCAATTTAGGTGCCGGCGGCATAATAACAGCATCGGAACAAAAACTATAATCTGCTGTCTACCTACACCGAAGCGTAGCCATTGAGTATAAAATAAAGTAACATAAGTTGATAAGTTTATTATTGTTCCAGCAACAGCACAGTTCATCACACAAGCGCAGGCGCAAGCGTTGAATGCACAGCAGGTGAGACGGAAATCTAATACGGACAGTTCATAGTGAATACAGAAGCCGTAGTTCACTGACCTCTAGTGAAGTAAAATTGTAAATACCCAGTAGTTAAATTATTCTAGACTTAATTGAATAACAGTGAGCGTATGAAGATGGAAACAACGATATGATCACACCAGATTTTGTTTATCTACACAATATGGATGTTGCTGCTTGCTTGCAGCAATGTCTCATAAGTGATATTATATTTATAAATAGACGAATGTTGAGAGCGATATAATTTTAATGCAAACCGTTTCTAAAACGGGTCATTGATCGATAAGTACTTGAAATGTGTTTTCCTGCAATGAATTCGTGTTTTGAATCATGGTGTAACAGTTTTTTTTGTTGATGTACCATATATATTTCTCAATCATGTAAATTATTTTTTTAATCTAATTCGAAAGTCACAAATTATAAATATCAACAATTTTACTAAAACTGACATTAGCGTTATTAGCCGTCATGACATGAATTTGTGAGTAAATTTAAAGTGTTATACGTATTTAGTGAAGTAAATATGTTGAATACCAATATTATTATGACTAGTGAAGATTTTATTTGTTGTTGGAATTGTTGGTAACGCATGTAAATAACGTTGTTGGTGGGATATGGAAAATTTTAATTTTGATTTGTGCTTGTAACAGTAGTGTAAGCACGCACCACTATTTAAGAATGTAAATATATTGAGTTAGGTTCGGAAACGTGGTAAAAAATCTTTTTCGTAAGACATCTATCATATAATTTATATGTTTATTCTATTTGGGTTCAGTTAAATCAGCTTCACGTCAGCCACATCCACATATTATAATATGTCTGATATTATAACACAACATATAAACAGCTTTGTTAAAAATTACAAATCATATATGGATATATAAGTACTTTAATGTAATAAAATATTTGTTATGGGATTCATCTTTCGTATACGACAATGTTTGTTTCAAAAACAATCAAAGATTACTTAAAATTAGTTAAGGAGTTAGTCATTTTCTAAACTTTCTGTTAAAGAATATAATTACTAGTTTGAACAAACGTTAGCAAGGACACGCCGCACATACTCACAAACTTTTACCATCAGCCTTTTACTTGTTGACTGCGATAAAGTCTATTTCTGAGAGAAAATCTTATAAACTATGAACTCTTAAATGCCCATTTATTGCCAGTGCATATAGGCGAGAGACATGGCAGAATATTTTTAATTTACCAACTTTGTGCGTATGTAGTCGTGACGAGATGTAGATTCTAAAGCTTCACTACTGAAGAAATAAATAAACCACCGTTAATGCTTTTATAACCGACTTCCAAAAGGGAAGGTAAACTACTGCATAGGGTCTTTACCAGTGCAAGTGAAATTACAAATATTCTATAATATTGAGAATGGACTTTCGGATTACATTATTATAACAGTAGGCTATTTGACAGTATAAAATTAAGTACTAATTATTGGTATCAAATTATATTGCTAGCGATTTCACTATTTTCACAAAAAAGTTATTGATAATATTACAAAAAATCATGAAATGGAAAAGTATTTTTTGAATTATTATCACGTGCCCGAAAATGCCTAGGATTAGCGGAGCCTTAAGTGACGTCACCTGCTTGTATACATCAAGTCGAAGTGACATTACTTTATACTGTTTGATGCTTCGATCAACAATTCTATAGATAACGGGTTGCATACAAAATCAAAGCTAAAAACTGTCTGCGTATGTTTAAACTCATGCAGCTACATTCGATTCCCAATGAACAAAGATAATTGTTTTAAAACAGTTTAAGTTGAACCTAATAACAACTATCTCACAAAGGAATAAAGGTACAAATAACAAAACGTTATTTCGCACATACGACCTTTTATCTTATAAAACGAAATCTTGTTCCTTTTATAAATTATATCTGAAACTTGGAAAAACAGGATAAAGGTGAAAAAAGGAAAATGTAAAATCAACCTTATGACCCACAAAATAAAATATTTTTAACAGTCATTCCCCAGCGAGTTACTTCGTTTTGTATTAACCTAACTAATTTAAAATAAAATCTCATGCCTCAAGTGAGAGTATATTTACCGAGACTGATTTTACGCTCTAACCCTTAATCTATAGAATTGTTGATCGAAGGTTTGATGTTATAATGAGAACTGTGTGTCGTAGCCGTAATCACCGCGCCTTGGAAAAGCTCGTATCCCAATTAAGTTTCGATTCCGATTAGTGTGCGTTTCGGTAGAGCGTTTCATACACTTAACGGCTCGAGTTGATACGATGACATCCCTTTCCGAGTTGACATACCTGCTACGACCACAAGTTTGGTATATAATTACTTTTTTGGAAAATCCACTCCAAACCACCTAAAAATTCGTGAATAATTTATTTTTTCTCATTAGTACTAATATTGCAACCGTGCGAAGCTAAGCCGGCCAATATATGAACCCCTTTGCTTGAATATCACGGAAAATAGTTTTGCCAATGAAATAGATGTGCGCGCTTACACTGAAGACGTAGGTTGTATAAACGAACTCATATATAAGCGTACATTCTACTGATGTCATTTAAAGTAATCGACTCGCCGATTGGTGAATCTGTAACGTGGCTGAACGTGAACAGTATTATTTTAAATCCACTTGAATTTTATTTTTCGAAGTTATCAAAGTACAATCCTTTGCCACGAATCTAGAATTTTCTAGGTAAGATGTAAATATGTATCATAATAAATTAACTTAAATGCATCACAGATCGTACTGGTGATTTGTATGGTTGTTTATGTGTTTGGTCTCATGACCTATTTAGTTAGGACGTCCGGAATTTTCAAAGAGTGAGCTAGTACGCGGTTCTACAGATGTATTATTTTTCTTTTACTGTGATGGTCAGTACTAAATATGATATAACGCAAAATATGAAAAATGAAAATAATTTCTCAACTCGTGGCAGAAATCATCCACTTACACAGACGAGGGGTTAATATGGGGGGCGAACGTCTAGGCCAACAGAAAAAAAACAACACCCGGTCACGAGTTTTGGTCGCGTCCAAATCGTTAATCTTTTGAATAGGAGCTACTGGACGGTTCACGTAACGTTCGCGATGATAGAAAATAACAATCTGCCGGTTTGCATGGTGTGGGGGTGGCTATACGAAGGGGTATAAAATAGGGGAAAACATTCGAGCTCTTCAGACATTGAGAAAGGATGTTACGTGAACCCCTCCAGTAGCTCCCATTCAAAAGACTGACGATTTGATTTCGACAAAAAGTCTTGGCCTATTGTTGAAATAAAAGGGGAGCGGTAACATAATGGTCAGGGCATCCGCCCGGATAGCGGAGGGTGCGGGTTCGAATCCTGTCTGCTGCCTGGTCCGCGTGGAATTTTTTCTAGTAAAATTTTCTTTAGATTTAAACATCTGTTAAATGCTTAAATTTGTTTTTTATATTTTTTTTGCTTCCCTAGGCGTTCGACTCTATATAAAAGCCTTAGGGTTGGTGGGAGTATTTCACAAGGTGCAAGGTTAAACCCCCTCCCTTGTGTAATTCTGATGCGCTCGAGTAAATCCCAAAATCTCCGCTTGGGCTCCCCTACTATTATTATACTTCTGTAAAAAGAGCTGGTGTTGCATGAAATCTGTAGAACCAATAAGACGATGGGAACAATGTTGAATGGTATACAATTAAGTAACAATGCAATATAGGAAATAAGATTATTCATGGTAGGTATGGAATGAGTTCACTGTTGTATATCAGGGATCGTATTATGAACTATCAAGAGCGATTTTTAAATGAAATCTGTTCATCAATTCGAACAAACTCGAGCATTTGAATCGATTGCAGAGTTCATGTACAGATAACAATACATCCAGTTATGTAAAACTGGCAGTTCGATAAACTCTTATCACGATAATATTGATCAATGTAACATACCCCATGTTACATCAATCAATATTATCGTGATCTTAGTATCGCAAGTATCACAAGTTGTTTTTTTTTTCGTAGTGCAGCGATACTACGATACTGTATCATGTCATATGCCCCAATGATTATGAACTTTAAAGAGTTTGACGACATAAATTTCAAATTTCATTGACATTATTAGGACTTTGTAATAATCTGGTGTATTTTGTCGTTTTCAAAGCACTAGTAAATTTTATAATGCGGATTGATGACTACGAGATGCACCGGTGCCGGTAAAACCACTTACTGAGTTCTTTACTTAATCTATTCGGAAAAAACATAAATGCATAATAATAAGAATTAGGAAGGCACTTCAAAAGTAGGTCTCAGAGTCCAGCCACTTTTTGTAGTTTATTGGTGAAAATGAGAATTTGTATATATAAAAAAGGATGTTCCTTCGAATCTTAATAAATTAATTTGGTTTTACTACATGTATAAATCACCCACCAATCCGCACTGGGCCCGCGTGGTGGGTCATGGCCCAATCTCCCTATTCCATCCACAGGGAAGGCCAGTGCCCCGGTAGTGGGGACATTAATAGGCTGATGATGACATGTAAAAATACCTTTTCAATGAGACATATAAATAACTACAATTTGGTATTATTTCACTTGATGCAATGTAACTACTATTAAGGAAAACTGAATGTAATATAAAATTTTGAACGCTAAACATAAACTACGCCTTTAATTACAGAAATATAATGTAGGTAGCAGTAATTTGTATAAGAATAAAGACTGAGGTATAAATACTCAGATAATTTTGAAGAATACTAGTATAACTGTGTATTAAATAATTACGATGTGAAATCAATCAACCTTCCCAAAATCCACACAATATTAATATTTGTGGTAAATTTTACGTCGTTATTTATAATTACTCAGAGATTTAAATCATAGACTTGCCTCGCCTGTTAAGGCGCCGTGAGCATAGAGGTATAAGAATAGAGTAGGGGAGATATAGACTACTACAAATGGAAGTGTCCCTCTAATAGAAAGAGAAAGAATGACCGCTAGCTTTCTCTCTCTAATCGCATGCGCATTGGCATCCGTAAGCATCTTACTATTTCGATGTGATGCTATGGGATGCCATGCTTCACAAGAGAAAGAGATAGCTAGGTCTCTCAGCTTATTTCTCTTTCTACTAGACGGACACTTTTAGAGCCGCCTTCGCCACTCTATTCTTATACTTCTACGGCCGTGAGTTCCTAACTCCAATCCCAATTCCAATTAGCGTGCGATGCAAAAGGGAGTTTCATACAAAGAATATTTAACTGTTCCAGTTGATAAGGTAACGATCCCTTTTCTAGGAAATATGCCTGCTATGATCATTATAAGTTTACCACAATGTCAAACGAAATCATTTTAGAAGTATTAAACATTTGAAAGATTCTTAAATTATAAGTTTCAAGTATGAGACAAGGACACATCTATGATTTAAATATCTGGTAATAAATGATGAATATATGTCAATTGGCATAATACCTCTTAATTTCTAATAGTTAACACTTGTGTAATTATTGCCTGGTATATTTTTTTAGTCTAACAAAGCAATATCAGAAGACTTGTAAAACTATTCAAATTATTGTTTAATTAAAAATGTCTTATATTCTTATTAGAGATCATTTATTGTTCGGATTACATAGATCCATAGGTGTTAGTGTAAAATTATTTTTTTATTATACGAACCATATTTTTATAAGAGTTCATATTCAGTTTCAACAGATTGCATGTAAATTAACTTACATCTTATAATGGATTTTGAAATGAGATAGTCATTGTAAAGCTCGGACTGTGCTACGTTAAGCCCACATTTATGATAATTATATTATACTATGAATATGTAAAGATAATAGTTACTTAAGTAATTGGCAACGTAGCTTAACATTTTGGAATTTCAACTGTCTTCTAGTTTCTTAACTTTCTTCTTTCTAGTTGATGTTGAACAATTTATGAATAGTGTTGCTCAAATGCAAGAACAAGACGAGACTTAGCCAGTCTTGGTCTTGCGCCAATACACCTGGTCTTGGTCTTGGTCTTGCGCTCCCAGTCTTGGTCTTGGTCTTACAGCAAGAGTCTTGCAAGTCTTGCAATTACCTATTAGACTATTGCTATTTATTAAAGTTTACTTTAGATCTTAGAAAAACGTATTACAATTGGAACATTGTGATCTTGAATTAACATAGCCATAGTAAAGACCAATAAGATTAATAAATGTCTAAGAATTGATAAGAAATTCGAAAAATCAACTGCCACATGGTATTCAAATGAGCTATATGTCGTTTTCCATGGGAGTAACTGTTTCTTAATAAACATTTACGCTTTATAAGCTTACATGTGCTAAAACATGTAAAAAACAAATTAATTACAATAACTTGACTGTATTTTAAAGAACAAGATCTGTCTAGAAAGAGATTGAACCCTCAACTTATATGAAATTTAATAAAAGAGTTTTACGATTTATCATTTATTTGCTATGTATGTTTATGGTATTGCTGGTAATGCGCATAGGTCCAGTTTTTCATATTCTTTGATACAGTTTTTTGCGTCTCATAGAATTCCTAAGCGTACCTATACACCGAACTGTTATACCTAACCACTCCGTGAAATAGCGCTAAGTCCTAGCTGCAAGACGCAAGAGTCTTGCCGGATTAGTCTTGTTCTTGCTCAAGTCTTGCACGGTCAGTCTTGGTCTTGGTTTTGCTAAAAATATGCGGTCTTGTTTTTGGTCTTGCAAAAATGCAAGAACGAGACCAAGACTGCAAGACCAAGACTGAATTTGGGCAACACTATTTATGAATGTAGAGTTCTTTTATTTTTATATACGAAATAATACTTATTTTTCTTTGGTCTTGCTGTTTAATGTATGGTTTTCTGATAAAAGGGAGTACGTCTCATACGCACAAATGGTTTAATTTAAGACGATATGTTACCTGCCAGACTTATACTGTAAGATTGTCGTGGACATTTATCTTCGGTATTTTGATACATAATTTGATGTATGAAGGGAGGCACCTGTAATGTTGGTGTAATTGATAATTGTAGTTATCGGAGATGTGTTCAAATAGGCATTCTATGACATGCCTAGTTAATATTACGTCTTTATTATGTTTGTATTTATATTAATATTTCCTGGGCATTTGATAGTATATAAATATGTTGCCGAATACACAACAGCGTATGTGAGTAAGTGTGTGAATTGTTGATCTCATTTGTTTACGGAAATACAAGTAGCTCAATATGTAAATGTGTTTGTAAAATATACTTTTATGCGAACTATGTAAATGTCTATTTTAAGAGATATTAATATTATTATTGTATATATTTTGTAATGGAGATTTTTACACATAACCCGATTTTATTAAGTTCAATGGTTGAATGTCTCTAGTGTTTACTACATTGATTTCTCCTGCTCCATTGTAAATATTATTTTAAAATGAGATGTGATATGCATTCTGACTTATACATGTGGTGTATCATAAAATTTATATGATTGCGTTGACATTTGTATATACATTTAAATTGTAAAAATTTACTTGAGTACGTTGTTCAAACAATTGACGTTTCGGACATAAATAAATAACTTTTACACAAATTTAGTATTTTTTATTTCTGCGTAGGACTCACCTTTGTGTCGTTTTGTCAACTTTATTACCTTACCTCTTCATATTCATTACTGGAGCTGCTGCTTTTTCATACATTTTGTATGACATATAATCAAACCGAGCGTTTAAATGTCCTTGTGCAAGCTACACGCTGTGAGAGTCGTTTTTCCTTGCATGCAGCTATACTTTACGGATGCGTCCGTGGAGTGCTTTCTTCATAACACAACAATGATATAAAATATCCTAATATAACTATACGAACAAAGTCGTGGCCGAAACCTGTTCAAAAGGTACATTGGACGATCTACTTAGCTCCGTAAGATGATCGCGTTGAACAAAAACAAAGTAAGGCATTACTTAAACATTAAAAGTCACCTTTTTCTTATTTTAATTTCCAACACACACTAATTAGCCTAGCCCCAAAGTAAGCACTGTAAGGCTTGTGTTATGGGATACTAGGGTAACGGATAGAATACATATACAGTACATATATAAGTATATTTATATAGAAATACATATTAAACATCCATGACTGGAGTGCAAATGCTCGTATTCATCACACAAACATCTGTCCCCACCGGGATTCGAACCCCGGACCTCTCGAGCCGCGACACCATGAAACCCGGCGTACAAACCACTCAGCCACGGAGGTCGTCAAATTTTAATTTATACTGTTTAAGATCTTAATTAAAATGCATCAAAGAGTTATAAAAGTTCGAAATGCAAGCAAAGGAGATTGCTCAGCTTCCATACATGTTTGGCCTAAAGACCAATAATCATGAAAAATTGTTTCCTAGATTCGAAATTATATATAAATTACTTTAGAAACGAATATTATTGACGGACACCCCCGAGAACTTCTATAAACACTGAATGATTTTGAGGTTATGTTTGCAAATAGGTTCATAGGTATTAAAATAATAAAAAACAAATAAGTTATACAGCAAACTAGGGAAATCAAACCAAGTACCGAAATTATGTATTAGATTCAGGTATATAAAGCATGTAGATTAAAAGATTGCCTGTTTTTAAAGTTAATGCATAAGAGTAACTTTTAAAATCAGGTATCATCTATGCATTTCCTGATATAATAAGGTACTTTGTGTACAGAATTTGTGTGTGAATGAGCCACAGATTAGAGAGAAACTCTGGTTAACTAAAGAAATCTTATTATTTTTGTTATGTTTATATTATAACCATATTTTAGATTTTTAGTTTATCACACCTTATAATGTGTTTATGGATGTGTATGGCGAAAAATGTATGGCAATAGACTTTATGATGTCGCCTACCATCTATAATATTTGTCTTAGCACTTTGCATGTAGTAAAAATGATAATATACTTGTGGATATTATTACCACAGTGTAACAAAACAATGTTTTATTTTATCGATCTTTACAAAATAGATTTGTTTTGATGTTATATAAACAACTTCGATCAGTGTTTGGCTGAAAACACCCATAGCCATTAAAAATGATTCGTATGTTTTCCAAACCGGTAAAATTAAAAGTCCTTTTAAAATGAATATATTATACAAAGGTGTCCGTTAAAATCTAGTGACTGTAAAATAAAGTATAAATTACGCCTTCTTGGCTTCTTTACGGTATATGTCAATATTTTTTGTACGTTTGGCCCTTCCGGCATTGCCTGCCCTCCCTACGCACGAGCGGCCCTCTGCAGCTCTTCTGTCCGATACGGGCGTGCCTCACTAGGAGGCCGCACCGTCCTTCTCGCGCATATGCTCTAGTATCTAACTAAAGCAGCGCTGCGTCGCTCCCCCTCCCTGGGGGACGATCGCTTCCGATGAAGCCTTAGAGGCCTTCCCGGCCAGAGGCAGCCCCTATGGGTGTTTTTTAGTCAGTACGAGTCTGACATAACCTTGCAGCCGGCTGTAGGGTATCCATGAGGATTTCTCACCCGCTCCCCCGCCTGGGAGGAAACAAAAAAAAACGTGCAGAGACATTTGAGTTTCAACAGCGATTTTGGAGCGAATCCAAAGGCGATCAAAGTGCAACAAAAGTGTTCAAGTGCGATTGTTAAGAGACTTGTATAGTGAAATACAGTGTTTAGTGAGTGTTGTGTAATTAATATTGTGTGTTAATTGTGTGAACAGTGAAGTAAATAAAGAACTGTCAAGCGTGAACTGGCATGTAATTTCGAACCCCATCCCGACACGTAACAATATTATAAAGATACAAGATTTGTTTATTTTTAAGATACAAGGGTTGACTTGTTAGTATTAGGGTACTATTTCCTATATTCGTTTACCTACAAAAGCAAATATTGCTTTTGTTCTTCATTATTGACTGTTAATAATGTCTTTTCGAGCTCGTTTCTGAAGTGGTTCCATATTCGTCAATTTTGATATACATTCGGAGATGTCGGTACCAAAGAGGGGTCGAGGGGCGGAGGGGATAAGAAGCTATTGTCTGGGTCAGGCCGTAAACATTACTTATAACATTAGTTATTATTAGTCATTATTGCCACATTAGTTATAACATAACTCTCCGCCACATTTAAAAAAAAAAGTACGGTAATTACATTTTTTCAATAACAGAATCATATTTCCTCACAGATGGTGAATCGCGATCAATAAATATATTTAAATATCTTCAAAACCTTAGAAATTTATAAAATATTTTGCTACAAAAAGCGATGAATTTTTCGTAAAATACGCTTATCCGCCCCGGTAGAGGTGCACTTTGAGCATCAGTAAAATCAAAAATAAAAATCTTTTTGATAGTCTGTTTGCTTTTACGCTATACAATAATAGTTAGCTAGCCACATTTTAAATATCGTTTCCTATTACCTAAGAAATATTATATTCATAAATGTTCACTAATTTTCGAAAAACGTTTAAATCCATTCCTTTGCGCTACTTTTATTGCGCAACTAATAAATGCCCATTTGGTTGTGTTTAAAAAATAGCAGTATTCAAGTCTGAGTAGTGGCAGCACCGATCATACTTTGTCTATGGTCAATACGCTGTCAGCGGTCATATTTTTTTCAGTCCAACATCAACATCGTTTGAAAGAAGGAAGTGCCATATTTTTTGCGGAGAGTGTTTTTTATGTTTGACATCTTTCAAGGCTTAATTTACATTAAAAAATAGCTTATTTATCAAGTTATAATGGGTTTTGTTTGCGCAACAGTTGCGCAAAAATGACTTTATGCAACTTTGCGATACCAGGGGCGTAGAATTTGCGCTACTAATTTTACGCTACCAAATAAAGGAGCTTACACACATAGGCTTGCAGGTGTTTTTTTTAGCTTTTGTAATATTTGTGTTTTTTTTGAGGTTTCGATTTTAGTTCCTGTGAAGGAATTGTATTTCTAGCAATAGAACTCTCCGCTTTTTTGTAACACCTTTTAAGACTTAAAGATAAGAGTAAAAGTTGACGTTTGGCATACTTACATATTAAAAGTGTGTTTTATTTTGTAGCACTGTCCTTACGTTACATATCTTGTATGCACTCCTTAACAATTTTGCGTTACCATTTTACGTCACTCTGCGCTATAGACTCGTAGAAATTTTTGCGACACCATTGCGCTATTTGTGGCAAAATCTACGGCCTGACCCGTCTATGCGATTCTTAACTTGCACTTAAAATGTGATATAGACACATAAATTAAAAAATATTGAAACCTTTAAGTATGTAAGCTGTCTTACAACGCTATTTGTATTTTCCTCTTAATCTCAACAAAAACAAAAAAAAAGTATTTCATATTAAGAGGTATATAATCAAATGAGAAAGTGCTCCGACGATAATTCAAAAGTCGAAAAATAAGGACCACCCTAATAATACCTACTTTAACTTCTTATATTTTATTATCGTTGTCAAACATATATCTGCTAAGTGCACTTTTTGGACATTTCGATATTGTCATCGTTATGAGTCGTATACTAATTGAATTTTCGAATACAAAGCATGCGGCGTCCGCTTGCGCCATCTTCACCGCGTTAACTTTAGTTTCATAAGGATCTTTCAGGAACCTAATTTTTTCTCATTACATAAAGTACCCCATGTCTGAATTCAGATAATGAATTATAGAATCATGTTCCAAATTTCATACCAATCCGTTCAGCCGTTTTTGCTTGATTGTATTGTAATGTAACAAACATACAAACTTTCACATTTTATAATATTAGTAGGATATACCAACCCAATGATTGATCTTAAAGAAAGTGAAATGTACGAGTATGATTGTACAGAATCATAAATCTTTTATTTTTGGAAGCCTAATTAAGTTACTTGAGACACTAATTTTATTACTGAAAGCTATCGCTTATATTGGGCAAATGTGAAAATTAGGTCCAAGTATCAGTACCCTTTTTATCCGTGCAGTGACGGAGAAAGAATACTACTCACGGCCCCTTTTCTTCCCGTTGGTGTCGTAAGAAGGGACTAAGGGATATCGGAGCTTTCATCCGCTCTTCTGGTGGTAGGGGGTGCCTAACACCCGCCTAGTTTGTTAGCACCGTGCGCATGGTGAAAAACCTGTGAAGTGCTTCTCGTGTGTTTTGGGGTCAGCCAGCGTACAACCAGAGCTCGAGTGGGGGTTGCCGCGACAGATTCAGTGCAGGGGAGGCATTCGTCGAACCGAAAAGGGAGACTCGTAGAAACGGCTGTCCCGCTGGCCGCCCGTGGCACAGTACAGGGGCCCGAGCGCTCCAAACCAGTTCGTGGGGCTGCCCCATCATATCACGCATAATCTCGGGATGGAACTTCGTGCTGCTTGGTGACCGAAGCCTGGTGTCCCGGCAGCCACTCCCGGGGCGAAGGGGTGGGGGGCACGCCCTTTCCGTCTGGCGGGTAGGAACATATCTGCAGGCAGTCATTTGGGGAAACAAACTAATTTGCAAGGTCCTGTCGCGATAACATACGCTCGTTTCACGTTTCTTTTCACCTCCATCATGGTATGGCATGGCATAAAACAAAGTTTGGACGTACAGCGTTGCACACCCACACGCCTTCAACGCTGTTTAAGTCGAGTTCTGCAACATATGCGGACTGCACTCCGCTTTAACTCAACGCTGTCCACCACAGTCTTGAGACAGCACGGCCAGCATTGTTGTTCCTGACGGAGACACCTTAACGGCGACCACTGACGGCGGTGGTTGTGGACTTGGTTTAAAATTTTGTTTGGTGAGTGATTGACCAGGAGTGTCTATTCATATTGGGCCCATTCCGCTTGAGAAAGTAACCACTCCGGATTAAGTGGTTTAGGAAGTGCCAACTCCTAAAACCGAGTTGTTACTTTCAATATGGCTGAATGAACAAGTGCCGCCTAGCCGTCAACCAGCGGTCGGTTAGTCGTAAGCGTAGCGTGTCGCCTAGCTATAGCAAAACCGAACGTACTGGAAGTGCTTATTCGCTTAGGTTAGGTTAGGACGCTTGTTTGACAGTACGCCGAAAGGCGAGTCGATCGATCCCTTTCCAAGTTGATATGCGTCATCATTATCACCAGCCTATTGATGTCCTCCTATGGATGGAATACAATGGAAAAGGGAGTTTGGGCTGTGACCACCACGTGGGCCCAGTGTGGATGCTAACGATTGCAGAAGTACGGAGGAGCGCGAAAAAAAAAGTATTTGGTCACCTATCCAATGACCGACCATTGCGAAATTTCTTAACTTCGACGATCGAAGACGAAACGCGGTATCCACCTGTGCCATCTAGCGCAGCTGATATGTAAGCTATGATGCTTGGAAAACAAAAAAAAAGGTTTCAGTGATTAACATACATGCCAATGATTGTGCTCCAATACTAGAGATTTTACCAAGGAATGGCACACCAAATCCTTTATGTTTTGTTGAATTTTAGGTAAAACTCTGCTAAAATACAATTTTCATCTGAACAGTGGTTACATTTTACTAATTCGTAAACCATTAGATTATAAAATAACTTGTTTAAAAACACCTATCTCTTATTGCCTTCAATAAAATGGCGGTCTTTTTGTAACATATGCGAACCGGCAGATTGAAGAATTGCCATCAAAGAATAATAAAAAGATATCGTGTTAAGTGTTTTATATATAAATTTCTTTATATTTTAGTGTAAAAACAAGGAGGCCAATCATTGTGAGGGGCCAACATTAGTTTAGGTTCCCCTATTTATGTATGTTTAATGGTAAACGTAGGGTTGTGGTCATTCCTTGCCTTAATCGACTTTTACGTTATCATGATCACGTTCATACGCGAGTCGATAAATCATAAGTCAAATCATCAACAACAGCAAAACCTAGTAGAGGATAAATAAGAGAAACAAAAAGTTGATTTGGTTAAAAAAGTATGCCTTTTTATTCTTTCAAATAGTCTTCATCTAAATTTTATAAGAACATTGGACACAATCGAAGCTTTTTACCAATAAATAAGTATAAATAATTTTATATTCACATAAATCGTCTTATTTTATACATACATTACATTTATTTAATATCAGTCCTCTCAAAAGGTCCATTCTCTCCCTGCAAATTAAACTTTATTATTTACATAGCGATAGGGATTCGCGTCTACCGTACATACATACATCAACAATTAACAATTAATAGAGACTATTTACAAAAAATATCACAATCACTCGTGCGTTCATCCGTCATCGGTCACACACGTCGATTTACACTCACACACGATTTGGCATATGGATGGCGGCACGTCACTAGCAATCGTTCCAGGCGAGCCACCAGGGCGCGCGGCAGTCCTCGCGCTTCCGCCGCCGCCGCTCGCTGCGGTCCGACCGCTTCTTCACGAAGCGCACGTTATACGGGTCTTCGGCGAGCTCCGGGTAGCGTGCCACGTCGTGCACGTACTCGCCTTCGTAGCCGCTGGCCGAACCAGCCTTCTGGATCTCGTCAAGCTCGGCGGCAGACCAGTCTAACGAGCCGCCGAGTCCACTACGAAGCGCTTCTCGCTCGCGATGCCAAGCTTTGCGAACGGCCGCCGCCTTCGCATGATGCAGGAGCCGTTGCCGCTCCCTCTCCGCACTCGTGCCGTACCGTAAGTTCACCACGCTCGTCTGTCCGTGGATTTTCACGTCAGCGTACGACCTCCCGCCTTCCGCGATCTCGTGGAATGTCACGTTCAGTTTACCCTGCATGCGCTTCAACTGCTGCTTATCGTCTGCAGCCCGCCACGTTTCCTCTTTCACGAAGTAGAAAACGTCTTGCTGGTCACCGTGGACTACGAACGAGAACGGCAGCAGGTGTGAGCGGTTGAATACTGAGGTGTATACGTCTCGGTAAATGGCATTCGCAGATGGTACTGCGGTGACTACTGCGCGTCCTCGTGAGTTGCGCGATACAAGTATTCCTCGTCCGAATGGTGGTTCTGAATCCGATCCGATTCGTTTCGGTGCCAGGTCTAAAGCTTCCGTTTTTAATGCTGACATGGCTGGAATGGACAGGCTTCTAAAGTCAGCGATGCGTTTGTTGGACATGTGCGACAGGAAGCCTGACTCTATAGTCACACTGGGTAGTAGAGCCATCGCGGCAGGCATGCCGGGCCCCGGAGTCGTGGGAGCTGAACCCCACACGGGGCGAGCACGAGGAATGCTCGGCACCACTGCACCGCCAGGTAGTTCATCAGGATATAATTGTGGGGCAAGACTCTTCGTGTCGTAACCCAGTAGCTTCAGCCATGACAGGTGATCTGAAAGAGTTTTGTTTCACATTAATGATCTATCTTTATTAAAAAGATAATTTCAGGAGTTTTATTATTGTAGCAAGTGTTTTTACCTGTCGGTTTCTTGTGTTGTGGCCGAACGTTGATAGGATCATTTCCATTGAATCTGTATAAATGTAGTTGAGTTGGATCCGTGATTCTTTCTATGAGATTTTCCCAAAGCGGTGACATCCACTGTCCTATTAGCGGGTCATATACTTTGCCGTTCGCCATGTGAACTAGTGACGTCACTTGATCTAAGAGACCACCACAGAAGTCTACTGGTAAGTATAAGTATGGATTTGAATCGTAAACAATGTGACCATAGGGTGATCTCATGATTTCTCTTATACCCTCTCCATACTGGTTAAATACCATTACTGGCGTTCCGCATTGATCAGTAGCAATGTAATACTTATGTCGGGCAACCTAAAAATAAATAATAGTCATGGTTATCTATTCCAAAATATCAAAAATGCACTTTGTAACAAACGCACTGTACTAGCAATTATTACCTGCGTATAGATAAGATGTCCTCTGTCGTCATAAACTAATGTCATGAACCTGTTCTCACGTGGTGAGTAAATGTGGCTGACCTCATGTGGTTTCTCTTTATTGGTGTAGTAGAATTGAGTCACATTACCAAAATTGTCTTTTCTCGTTGATAGTCTGGAAACATACGATATATTATTAATACTGAGGTAGACGGTTTTCAAGAGATTTACCAATTTAGTGTAAAGTTGTCAAATTATAATTTACCTGTCTAAGTGATCGTAGTAATATCGGACATCGAATCTTCCACGCTTTGTTGCTCTAATTAGCAAACCCTTAGAATTGTATTGGAATCGTTCTTCTCTAGCGTTTTGGGATACAAGTCCTCGGCTGTCGTATCTGTATTGACCTTCACCGAATTTGATGATTCGATCCATTTCATTGTACTCCATAGGAATTGTGTTGCCTCTGTACGTCAAGGATAACATGTTTCCATTATCATCGTATCTGAAGCCCCAGGGCTCTTGGGCTTCTACTCCTGTCAATTGTCCATCACAATCCCAAGTATAATTTTTGACATTAGTGTAGGTATTTACACCAACATTCCTGGTGTGAGTTCGTGTTTGAGATATTCTTCCGTGTTTATCATAAGAGAACTCCATTCTAAAGACCTCCATTCTGTGGATATTAACTGTGATTCCTTTCTCCAAGAACTGGTCATTAAGTGTGCGTGAAAACATTGCGATTCCGTCATAAACTGATGTCTCATTCCACTTCTGTTTTGATACTGTGAATTGACCTAAAATTTCAGGGGCACCTGTTTTGCTGTTGTAAATTATATGATGGGGAATAAGTGTTTGCCCACCGATTCTACCTTGTACTGAAGTTATTCTATAATTGTTGTCATATTCATATATTATTTTAGCATTGCTAAGGCCAGTTTTAGCACCATAATCAAGTCTCTCTTCCATTAAAAGTCCACCAGCATACGTAGATTCCCATCGGTAGTCTACATCGCGGTCAACATGAAGAATTTCTGATGGGAGTCCACTGTTTTCGGAATAGTGTATTTGTGTTTGTCCATCGCCGTGAATTACTTCAGAGACTTTATTTGTAGTGAAATAACGGTAGACGACTCGGGCTCCATCACCAGGGAATACTGTCTGTAAAAGTTCCCCAGTATGTGAGTAATGTTGTAGATATTTTTTCGATGACCCTGGCGGTGAGTATGTAACTCTCAAGAATCCGATCGAAGGTTGAACGCTAAATGAATGATTTGCACCTGAAGGCAAAATCACGTGTGTTAACCCACCATCTTGGTCGTACAGATATTTGAAACTTCTTTGACTAGCTAAAGTAATTTTGGAGACTAGATTGCCCTCGTTATAATAAATGAACTTCGTGCCATCTTGAGGACTTGTGATTTCGGAAAGCATGCCGTGCTGATCATAGTTGTACGATTCTTCACTTTCACCCCATTTCCAACCGTTGATTCTATAAAACCGGTCATATGATATATTGATGGGTACTCCTGCACCATGAGGAGTGAAGGAAAGTGGTAAACCGGCAACATCGTACGTAATGGTGAACAGTGGGTTTCTGTCAGCGTTGAAGAAGGTTTCTCGGCTTTTAAATTGATCGAACTCGATTATAAGAACTCTCGAATCGTTAACCCATATCTCGCGATTTAGAGTCTGCTGAGGATTTCTTACGTCTCCTACTAGGGTGTACAATGAATACATATTATTTATCAAGCCATCGCCGAATGTAGTTGTTTGATGAGACCACATGTGTAACATTTCAGCTTCAATTGGTAACGCAGCTTCTAATAGTGGGTGCTTGGCAGCTGCAATACTCTCGAACTTTCCTTGCCAAGGTGTTTCCAGCATTAAAGTATTATTCGTGTAAATTCGCCCTTCCGTAATTTGTTTACCGTTGTTTATAGTGATTTGTTTGAACGATTGTCCGTGTAGTACGTATTCACATTTCTTTGCTACTCCTACAGGAATGGTGCTGGATGGATTAGATACAGTAACAGCGAGTCCATAATTTTTGGCCAATCCAGAAGCTATATGTACTTGTTCTCCTGAAGGCATAATGATTTTGGTTACCCGCCCTAGTTCATCGTAATTGTATATAACGGTTTCTCCAGCCTGTGAAAGCAATAATATCGTTATAGGTACATTATCAATGCTGTGGCAGGACAAAAAAACCTAATATTATTATTATTTATGTTTATTTCCATTTTTACATTGACCACTTACCCCTGATCTGCTGTTCAGTAAACCGGTGTTCGCATCATAATCTAATTCCATTTCAGAAGTTCCTCTTTCACTTATCTTTGTAAGGTAGCCAATCCCGGAAATCTTAAGCTCCAACTTATGATCTTGAGTGTTTTCGATAGAACTGACGACGTTACTATAATCTCTTAGGAGCTGTATTTTATTGCCTGAAGCATCGGTGACTGTGGACAACTTTCCAAAGCTAGTATTTTTTGAATACAGGAATGAGTATCTCGTCTTTCCAGAAGTCAAATCTTTAGTTGTAATATGCTGGCCGTAGCGATTGAAAACATATATTTCCGATGTGGGTGGATACGGTATTCGGAATTCTCCATTTTCATCGTGAGTTGGCAAATAATGTTTCAAAGCCAGAATGTGTAGTGAACCTGAAATAAAACAATTATAAGTTTACCTGTAAATGCTGCCACTTTACAAAATCATTTGATTTAATAAATGATCTTCAACAAATTATTAAAAAAACACTTCATATATAATTCATTACACAATTATTATTATTTACCTTGATCAACTACATTCAGAACTCCATCAGGAGTCACTGCCAATGCTGATATGGTTTGGAATTTAGCGTTAGAAGATAAAAGGGTTTCAGTACTCGTAGGTGGTTCATCACCAGCGGCTACACTTAATCGACATGGGCAACCTGCTCCTTCGTCTCTGGCGTTCATAGGAACAACAGTTGCGGATACAGAAGAATTACATTCACAGCTTAATTCTTTCAAATTCTCCTGCACTTTCCCAGCGAAATGCATTATTTTCCCTGACGGATCGATCGATTTTATAGTGTTCGATTTCTTCGAATCCGATTCCGCGACATACAAGATGCCACTTGGCGCGAACGATATTGCCAAAATAGTTCCTAAACTAGAATCTTCCCGGAAGTCTGAAGTTTTGTTAGTAGGCTTCGTGATAGGTTTTCCGTCACTTCCCAATCTGCAGTGAGATGGTTGGCCGGCGACTACTTTAATTTTCATGTCCGCTGTAAGTTTTAAGATGATTCTATCGTCGATGAAATATAGGGAGCCATCTAGCGGTGATAATGCTACTCCAGTTGGCCATTGCAATTGGGCTTCGTAGGGTGGAATTGCACCTCGACAAGGTACTGGCGACCAATGATTGTGATGGCCGTGATGGCCAACTAACGTGTGAATGATGCCATTTGGATCAACCGCTCTAATGTTAGTGCCATCTGCGATATACATTGTCCTGTCTGCTGCGATAGCGAGACCTGAAAGAAAATTGTTCATTGTCAGAATTTTTGCAGCTAAGCCATAATGAGGAGATGGAGTAGACTTAAGAATCCTTAAGCAACTTTTGCAATGAGATATCGTAAGGATGACCATGTAATACTTTTAATTACTGAAGTTACGAAGATCCATGGGCATCTGATAGTAAATTCATTAAACGAGTTTCTCTCGTTTGCACGAATTTTTGTCAAAATTTATAAAGCTATTTCGAACTCTTCCGTGTTTGGGAGGGTATGTACATTTAATTTTCATTAACTTCAAAAGTAATGAACATATTGGTTAAATAAAGCCTGTTCTTACTTAATAATTACATCCATAGGTAAGCAATTACCATTGAGCTGTGCTGTGGTAATGTTATAACATTATTTATTATGTATTTATACACACATTATATATTATATATATAATGTGGCCGTTGAAAGAATGCTTCCATGACAGTGACAGTCCCTTAACTAGAAAGAATAGAGTATTTTTCGATTTTTTTTCTAGATTGAAAGTGTACTTTAATCTGTTTACTTAAAGAACTGACACGACCTAACCGACCAAATGCGTTCGCATTGTTAGCGACCACTTTGTAGAAACAAAACATAGCTACCCAAAGCGCAGTACAACACGTATTTTTTATTTCCTCATTATGATTTAGAGCAGCTATTCTACTAAATAGAGCGCAGCACAGTTTCATGTTCATTATTAGTATTAAGTAATCACCCTAACAGTACAGTCTCTTTAGTTTCCTGAGGAAATCTCGAAAAAGTAAAGGTTGCGGGGACGATATTATGGAAGTAAGCTAGATAGAATTTTATAGATTTTAACAGAATGCCTACCTTTAGGATGAGCCAGCTTGGCTTTTATAGCAGGTCCTTCGTCGCCGCAGTTAGAGTCATCCCCGGGAACGCACCGGTCGCCGTTACCGACCACTGGTTCAGAGTTCGTCGCCGGATCGCGGACTTTCTCCAGTAGGAGCACTTTACGGACTTGATGCCTCTCAGAGTCCGATATGTAGAGGTTGCCGTCGGCCGGCGATATGCAGATGTAATACTGATACGCGGTTTGAGTCGTTCTGGTGACAACAAAGTGACAAACGGTCAGAGAAATGTTGGATAAAGTTGAAGAAAAGTGTCATTGTAATACTTATTGAGCAACGATATTAATATCATTGTTATTTATTTTCCACCGCCAACAGTAAAAAAAGTATTTAAAGCTCCGATTTAAAAAAAAAGAAGATTCAATATAGAAGAACAAGTAGGTATTAGCTTGCTACTTATATCTTTTGATTTACTAATGCTTCCGAAGCAGCATAATAACTGTTCTTAAATATGAGAAGGAATCAAATTAATAAATTAAAATGCAATTAGAATGCTTTAAACTATTATCGAGAAAAGAATAAAGGTGCAATGTATGAAATTCAAAAAGCACTCACTCTAATCTGAGCACGGTAGTGACTACTCCTTCGGGAGTAATTCTTCTAACAAGGTTGAAGTCTCCAACGTATAGGGATCCATCGGGGCCTGACGTGAGAGCAGTCGGTGTGAGTAGTCTCGAATCCGCAGCTTTTCCATTGCAATGGTCGGGACAATCTAATGAACGTTGGAGACCTGTTCCCATCACCACCTGGAATTGAGAAAATACAACATATAAATATAAAACAATTTAATAGACATGCTGATGATCATTAGGTTAAAACACTTGTGATGATTTATTTATTTATTCAATAAACATGCTAATTTACAGAACTAGTTACAACGCATCAGCAGGTCACATTAATTGAATTTATAAATAAAATACAAATTATACATTACAATAAATACAAATTTAAATTAATAAATACAATAAAATTAATTGAAACTGAAATGATAATCAAAAGTAACAAAGGAATCATGAACATTCAGATCTGAGCCAAAATGGAAAAGTTGTTGTTCAAATGTTGGATATCATTACAGCCATGGTAATATCTACAAAGTAAAATAAAGCAATTGTGATTATAGTCTAAATTAATGCAGGCATTTTGAATATCCAAACCTGGGACAATATGGATCGTCTAAATTTAGATGTTGGACAACAACTTTAGACCGGTTGTAGCTGCTTCGTATTTGTATAAGTTTAAGGCTGGGGCTTCATTTAGAAGTATTCTTTGAAAGATAACCTTACCTGCACGGTTCTAGGGTACTGCTTCAAATGCAGCAGACCTCCGTCGCCTTTCTGCAGAATGCCTTCATGGAAGTTGTAGTGGTGATGAATATCAAGTCCCCAGCCCCCGATATCGGATATGTCTACGTCGAAGCCGGCCAGTGTGGCCGTCTGAGTCTCCCATACGATGGACGAGCAAGATGAGTATTCGTAACCGATGGAGATTTTCGCTTGAGCTTGGCCGTACACCTGTGGCAAATGGACATTACAATTACTTCACTGCTAGTACTGTTCTCATGATATAGGATTCACAATGTATTGAGACAATTTGACAGTTTGTGGTAAGTTAATGTGTGGATGTAGGTACATAAAATCTTTTACCTACACTTATGTCGAAATATACGAATTTAAATATGGTTTTATAAAGACGTACTTTATAAGCGCACATACATAAAATTAAAAATAAAAGTCATTAGAGTACTGCTGGCTGTAACGTAAAATAGTTTTTTTTTCTAAATGGCTTCGCACGGCTTGTGCATTTAGCGTAAAATAGCTTTTTAATCATTATAGTACAGTTTTACGTTTTAATTTAATGTATTATGCCATGGCCGTGGCCATGGCCATGATGTTAGGCTGAATGTGAAAAAGAGGCGCACGCATTCGTAATTTAAACTTACTTTTCCGCGCTTCCCATACAGCTTTCTGTCGATCGTGTTTCGTTTTCGGCATTTCAATACCATTACCCTTAGTATGAATTTATTATCATTATCGAACAGTTGAATTCGATCTAGATATACGTCAGATCCTTGGGGGAGGCCTATGTCCAGCAGTGGGCGTCATACGGCTGATATGATGATACGTCAGATATGTACTCATTATTAGTTTTCGTTACATCCATTGTAGCGCTGCTATTCGAGTTTCCATACAAAATTTGACATTGACATTTCGCACTCGCAAACTATTCGAATTCGATATAAGTTCGTGCTAGGGGTACAGATAAGATTTTGCAAATTACTTTTTTGTTACCTAGCTACTTTGTTTAATTTAATGTTCCTATGAGTGAAGATAACGTAGTGTATGTAAACTGCATATACATAATCTAGGTGTAAAAACACTCGAGTCAAATCAATAGACTCAAGCAGTGCTTTAATATCCCTTGTAATAGGACAGTCGCATAAACTACTATTAAGATTGTGGGGGTAGTTTTAGAAATGAATGTAATGGTGATGAACGGGTTAGTAGACTGTGCCTATTGTGGCCTGAATGACACCTCAGGCTTTACTAATGCTACGTCTGAAGGTGTTGTTGTATCAGTTGTGTTTATTAATATTAATTTTATATTTGCCTCATCATCATCATTATCTTAGGTAGGTGTGAAGTTCGTGAAGTTCCGTATCTATGAATTTACCTTCTGCTTGTAAACGTTCCTCTTGTTCCACGCGAACACGTGCGTCAGGTCGGGGTCGGCTTCATACGAGTGTGTATGGAGTGACCCTTCGATCTCCACGCGCACGTGGACTCGGGCCAGGGCCGCGGGCACAATACGCCTGGTTAGCTGAACGTGGACGCAAGAGAGGTAACCCGCTGCTTGCGACGATCTGTACGTTAACTTCACCGATGAACCAGGGATGCCGATGGATTCGCTCACGATCTGTGGAGGAAATATTGTAGCTGTTAGTACAGTAGAGATAAACAGAGTACGTATAAAAGATTATAGTATGTACATATAGACAAAGGACGAATGAAACAACGATTGTAGCGGTGTGATGTTCTATTGTGCGTATATTTGTACCACTTTAACAAAACAGCTTGGCTGAAAGAACGTTAAGAGTTCATAAAACGATTTAATGAATGTTTTGCTTCTTTGGAAATGTTTGGTGTTCGACTTTAGGAAACAACTGAAATGGGCTATAATAACTACTTAATCACGCAAGCAATTTGTAAATATAACTATGTATATGAACGAAACTTTAAGAGTAGGTTCCATAATTATTAAACGAGTATTGTGCACAGAAGCACCATGAAACAAGTTTGTTTTTATTTTATACTTAAGATATCATAAATTACTAATTACGTTGGCAGGTAGTAATTTCATATTGCACTCCTTTTTTTGGTCCTTTAAAAATGACTACTATCTTAGAGATTTAAGTCATATTTATATCAATGAAAACTGAATCAAGCTAGTTTAACCTAAATATTTGAAGAACTGCATGTAGTCGTTCTGAAATCAGATTCCGTAAAGTTACGGTATTGAGTAACGACGTCCCGAGTCTAATTGCCTCGCACATATTTACGGGATCGATACGGTTGCGGTACACACATAAAAGCAGCGACCGGAGTAAGGTCGGCGATGACACATTTACGGACGCCCATACATGCTACAGATGGAACCGATTTAATAGCGGCCCGAACTCTGGGTAGCTTGCATAACTAAGTATCTGATGTTATGAATATTCTGTTTAATATTTAGGTATGTATTCGAACTACTCGTATGAAAATGCTGACTCATCGTGTTTGTGAACAAACTTTGTTGCTTCTTATTCAATATTCTTTACAAATGTGGAGGAATTAAAGGTTATACTTACAAAAAGTACTTTTTATTACATTTGTACCACTACATTCCAGAAGTTATTGTAATTATCACGGCTTTTCGTACTTATAGGGAACCTGCACAACTCAGGTGCTGCCAACTGGCATCGAAAATCCACATCTTGTAATCTATTAAAAGTTAACATTGGGATTTATATTTTATAACAAGTAAACAGTTAAATAAAACGGGTTAATGCACGAACTTTATTTATTTATTGAGCAGCCTTTTCAGGTCTGCATCGTCAGAAACAAACAGTAAACAGTTCGAATAGTTTAAGAGTGCGAAATGTCTTTGTCAAATTTTGTTTAGAAACTTGAAGAGCAGCGCCATAACGCACGTAACGATAACTGAAAATCAGTACACATTTGACGTATTAAATTTATTGGATTTAACTATTCGATATTGGTTCGTGCTAAGGGTACAGAATCAATTATATTTTTTTTCTAGCTAATTATAATGCATTGTTGCATTTCTGGATGTACCAATACATCCACAAAGAATGAAAATAGATCAGATAGCGTAAAATTTAATTACTTTTCAAAGAATAGCACTCTCATGCCATGGTTATGTGACAACACAAAAAATGAATAAACGCATTATAGAAGCATACGTAAGTATGAGTTTTGAGCATTTAGAAATAATCAATAATATAAGAAGTGAAAATAACTAAGTTTTTGAAGTTATACTTCTTTAGGCGCGTTATGAAAAAAATATGAGAGTGAAATTTTTAGATGCGCGCGCATCACTATAACCCAAAAGTAACAGCATGAAGTTGGCCGCGGGCGCGTTATGAAAAAATCATGTGAGTGATATTTCGAGATGCGCGCGCATCACTGTAACACAATAGTAACACCATGAAGTTGGCCGCGGGCGCGTTATGAATGTTAGTGTCTAATAATGGTGGATTATTAACCACTTAGTGGTTAATAATCCACCATTATTAGACATCTGTTCGAAAGGTACTTTGAACGATCCACGGAGCTCCATAAGATGATCGCGTTGTCAAAAACAATGTTGGCACGCTCGTCGCCTCTGATCACTGTTTTCATATTTATAATATTTATCCACATGTTTCTAGTTTCTATATAGACACAACGTGTTTTAGTTACTTACAAGTGCTAATTAAATATGGACTAATAACTTAAATTCAGTAGTGATTTTAATTGAATATTTTGAATATTTATTTAATTTTTCAAATTAAAACTGAACTTAATTGACTGTGTTAACTATCCTTTTCCAGTCCTTTTATTATTTTATTGTAATTATTAATTATTTGCATGCAATTAAAAAATATTTTTAATGATGCTAAAGAAGTATAACTTCTCACGCGCGTACATAAGTTACACGCATCCATTTTTTTTAATTAATACAGTCAGTTAAACATTTTTCTTTCAATCTGTTTTCAGCAAACATCCGAGTGATTGGCTTCCACCTAGAAAAACAACAATATGCAGTGCTCAGCTCACTTCATTGGCAACAAAAAATTAGTAAATCTTTTACATCCGTTATACGTTTCTACAATTTTCCCTGGTGAAGAAAAGTTAACACAGCCAAAGTGTTAAAGACCAAGCCAGGCGCGGCGGAACTTTGTGCGTGGAATGAAGGCCTTACCTGTGCTTCCAGGCACACGACAGTGTTGGTGGTGTAAGAGGAGGTAGCAGGCACAGCGAGCGGTGGTATGGCCATTAATTCTGGCCGCAGCCGCTCGTGGTCGTGCGCGGGACACGGACCTGACTCGTGCTCCCACCACTGGGGCGCTTGAGACTAATCCTAGCGTGGTGGAACGTAGAACGAAGGTCTTACGTTTGCTTCTGGGTACACGACGGAATTGGATGTGTGAGCGGAGACACTCGTGGTCGTGCGCGGGACACGGACCAGACTCGTTCTTCCACCACTGCGGTGTTGGAGACCAATTCAGCCATAGCAGAACTCTGTACGTAAAACGAAGAACATACCTGTGTGTGTGTACCCAGAATACACGATGGTATTGGGTGTGTGAAAGGAAGCAGAGGGCGCAGCGAGCGGTGGGATATCCTCCACTTACGGCCGCAGCCGCTCGTGGTTGTGCGCGGGGCACAGACCAGACTCATTCTCTCACCACTAGGGCGTCACAGACCAATTCAGCTACGGTGGAGCTCTGTATGTGGAACGAACGTGTTACCTGTACTTCTGGGTACATGATGGTGTTAGGGTATGAGCAGTGGTAAAGAGCGGTGGGACGACCACCACTTTTGGCCGCAGTCGCTCGTGGTCCTGCGTGTGGCACGGATTGATTCGTTTTCCCACCACTGGGTTGTTGGAGACCAATCCAGGTGCGGCGCAACTCTGTACGTGGAACGAACGTCTTACCTGTGCTTCTGGGTACACGACGGTGTTGGGTGTGTGAGCGGAGGCAGCGGGCGCAGCGAGCGGTGGTACGGCCACCACTTCCGGCCGCAGCCGCTCGTGGTCGTGCGCGGGACAAGGACCAGACTCGTTCTCCCACCACTGCGGTGTTGGAGACCAATCCAGGCGTGGCGGAGCTCTGTACATAAAACGATGATATTTTAGTTTAAAGAACTTAAAGAACTTGCTGCTTTACAACTCGGATCAGAGGGAATCTAGCTTGTTTATAGAAGACAGTAGTAAAATATTTGTTAAATTGTTTTATACAATGGCTATTCTTGTAATAAATAAAAGTTCTGGGTATACAACGCCCTCGTGTCAAGCGTCCGGAGCTAATTAACTATCTGGTATAGATAGAGCTTAAACTGAGCAGTAACATTATGCTTGTCAGCTGTCCTATTGACAAAAAAGCTATTAAATTCTCACACAAAGTGTATTACGTTAGTTATCATTCGTTAGTTTCGGAAACTTAAGAATGGGTTAGATGTGCGCAGTTGTCCTGTTCGAAAATCAAGCAAAGGGTTTCAACCTCTTTTTGAAATAACTTGAAATCGACAGGCATATTGACTAACCTTGGAGTGGGAACTTTGACGCTCTCGTCACTGAGTTCCATCTCGACTGGCGGCAGTACGACGATTTGGTTCCAGGGCACGAAGACTGTCTTCCTCAGTGGTTTGAACGGCGATCGCTGGAACTGTAGAGTCACAGCCCCTCCTCCATTCACCAGCACATCGAACCTGCGTCCACACATTAGATATCAAAGCCATTAACACTACTGTACCTATTCAAAAAGTATTGATTTTTGAATTTGGAAGATAATTTTTATAACAACTTTTATTAATAATTAACACGTCTGCTTTTCCTTCGGTTTCTGTAAAATAACTTACTAAAAAAGTCAAAGTGACAGGATTTTCTTACTATGCTGGCATAGCTACAACTGTCTAATAGTTGTAGTATAGTAGAAAAATTCAGTGATGTACACTGGCAGACAGTCTCGTGAAAATTCGAGCTCTCGTAAAAGTTGCAGACTCTAAATTTTGTATTTTATTATACTTCAGTGTTGACAAGACGCGTCAAAAAGTTGTTCATTTCTTACTTTCTAGTGCGTATACCCAGTAGAAGCCTTTTAACGGACAGAGAACACATTTGGAAAAACACGGAAACAATAACTTTACTATGGAAGTCGATTCGCTGGTGACCAACACTATTATTTGCGTACAACATTTTATACCTGTGGTGTCGCTGAGGTGTTATATTTATATTACCTACTGATTACCTTTGCCAACTCCGTAAAAATACATGAGCTTTTATGGCGTGAAGTTATCTGAGTATGCAATAATTTCTTTACATGGTACTCTTCATTGAAAACTTTATTATTAATCACGGTTTTTGTAATTATGGCTATTGCACGGCATTATGCGGTTTATCCTGTTTGCGTTGATAGACAACTCAGACAGGTATACACGGAGCGTGCGGAATTCAATTCGCCGCGGTGTTGTTTCAGCTTACAGTTGATTTTCTCTTAACTCGGGAACGAGCCGTGTCTTGAAATAGGCACGCATCATGGTTGGTATTCACATCATTTTCCCGTAAACATTATGGGATTTTCGTTAAAATACATTAGACGTCGTTTGCGTTTATGAAGTGTGTATACGGTCTATGTATTATGCATTGTATGAGTAAGAATGTACGCATTTGGTGATTGATTTCATTTTAATTATGTTTGCGTATGTTGTGAAGTGTTTTAAATATTTTATATACTATAGTAATGGTGCACTTTTTATTTCCTTAAAAGTATCTAACTATTGAATTGTATGTATATTTTTAACCTGTCCTTTTGGTTTAAAAGCTTGTTATATTTTACGCTATTCCAGCTTTTTGCAGGTTCTATTTGTAAACAAATCTCGATAATCGATATTTAAATGTTGGAACGTGTTGTGTTTCATTCGATTACTCGTTCACATGATACCGGTTCGGTTACGCTGGCGAGTAATTTGATTTCATACACGATGCTTTACGGATACGCGCAAGGAATACTTAACGACCGTAACCGAACAATAATGATGATTGCTGTAAAGCCGCCTTTAAATATTTGTATTAGTCCTGAACTCTAGTAAAAATATTTAGGTACGGGCGGGCGTCACGTCACGCGACCTAAAATTAAACATTTTCCTGTCATAGTATAAAATTGACGTGTCATAGAGATAAAGATTCTGTGCACGTTTTTGTGTGTAGATAATAAAGATTGGTTCCGATCGGTTCCAATCTATTATTAATTTTGGTGGATTTTTATAAACCGTTATTGTTAAGGTTGGCTTGTACTCTGTTATTAATGAAATACCTTTGTGAGTTACAGCGTTTCTCACGAATATTAATTAAAGTAAACGACTTTGGTTAATTTAATTGACAAGACGATTAGGTATTTTAGAACTTTACTTATATTGGTTCTTGTTCTTGCATAGACTATTAATTGGGAAGTTAAGAATATTTGAATCGGACAAGAAGTTTTCCTTTAACTAACTCAATTTCTATTTATAGAATGTTAAGGGGGGCAATTATGATTTGTGTCCCAGATATTTTTTTCTCAGAAATGTTTATTCATCTTCAATCTTCATAGGACATGACCCTATATCATATTATCTTGTTAAACTTTTTAATTCTCTATCACATCGAAGCTGGAATAAAAAGGTGAGTCGTCATGGGACGCCTTACATATGTAAAACATTAAACCTTATTTTTTAAAAGATAAATACAAAAAATAAATTAAACTTATAAACTAAAATTATGTTAGAGCCATGGGATTACAACCGAAATTTTGACTTGTTGCATTTTCTCTGAGTGATATAAAACTAACGGAGCTCTCACAAATGCTGACCAAATTACGGTGCATGTTCAAAGCTCAGTGTTCAAGCTCATACACATTATTTGCCATTGAGTGTCGCCACTTAACACCAGCTTTGGAACCCATCGCAACAGATATTTCACATGTTAATAACTTTACAATTGTGGTACATTGTAAGCAGATTTGTCTTTGGTAATTTATTTTGGCGAGTGATTGTCGAGTGGTCTGATAAATTTATACGAAAAGCCTCTGTCTGGATTCAATTTCCTCTAAAACCGAAACTGATAATAAATCGATAAATTGAAACTGATTCTGGATCAAACGCGTTCCTGACAAAAATTGTTTTTGCAGACGTAATTTTGAACAAAATTATATTTTAAAGTGAAATTTTTATTACAACGCAACGCTACAAATATTTTCGTTCATCTTTAGCACTTCGCATAAAAAAATTAATTGGTATTAAAAATTCAGACCTTATCAAGCATCGGTTCGGTGGTAGAAAGCTCGCCTGTTACGCGGGCGACTCGGGTTCGAATCGCAGCAGAAGAACTGTTTTTAAATGATTTTAAAAGTGAAACTTGCTTCGGGGTTACATGAAATCACATATTTAATATTTTTTTAGATAACTTGACATGCACAAATTGATTTTGTCTTTAATATTTATACTTATTCAGATAATATCGAATTTACGACTGACGACGGCGGTGTATCGACTGTCAACGTTTCAATGCTATTGATACTAAATCAAGAATAATACTGTAATAATTACTAATTAATGGATCATTGGTAAAGCTCCAATTATTTTATGTTAATGTTATTTAAGTGTGCGCAGAATATCGAATGTGACAATCATAATGGAATTAGCGTGTCGCTAGAGAAGCAAATGATATGTAATTTATGTTTTCGTGTAAATTAACAGACTTGAGATCGTGATCTGCTAAGCTTTTGTTTAGTTTGAGTGAGTGACGTTTGTGCCTTCTACCAATAATTTATTCTTGTACATTTTTTAAGCGGACAGCCATTTATTTTGTGTTGTGCATTTTTTAAAATACTACCATTTCGTTCCTTTTGTTCAATACCTATCAGATTTTAGATTAAAAACAATTAATTAATGCGATTAACTGTAACGCGCTTAACGAACAACTAGCGAGAAAGTATTTGTATCGCCAACGTCAAAGTGTCTATGGAAACTAAACAATGCCCCTACCGGACGTAAGAACAAACTGGCATTTTCCATAGAAACTACAACATGGCGATACGAATACTTTCTCGCTAGTTGTTCGGCCTTGCGGTATTGTTATGACGCGATGTGTGAGAGTCAAAAGGGTACGGTTTACTACGATGTGAGCTATGAATTAAATCTTACTACGAAAAATTCGTCGTGGAGACCTTGTATTTCCTTCTTAAAATAAGAAGTGTAGATTGTATGGGGATCTAAATAACTCCAAAGGGTCTGTGCAGAGTTATGTTCTCGCAGTGTCTGAAGTTACTAGAGGTCCACGGGGAAGAGGTATTGGGTTATAAACCCGCCGCAAGGTGAAGGTGGCCGAAAGTGGAATCAGCTGTCGTCGCTCCAAGGCTCACTATTTGCTTCATCATCGTATTAATGTCCTCACTGCTGGGGCACAGGCCTTCCTTACCATACTATGTTACGCAGGCCCAGTGCAAATTGGTGGGTGATAGTGAATACAGATGCAATGGGGCCAACGGCATAATGTCTCTTCCGAAGCACGGAGGAGCTTAAGATACTAAATTATTAGTCACCCATCCGATGACCAACCACTGCGAAAGTTGCTTAGCTTCAACGATCGCACCCGAACGCACTAACCACTTGCCTTATCGCCACTATTTGCTTACTTGTTTGAAAAAAGTATACAAGACGAGACTCACCATCCTCCTTGCCTGGTGAGCGTGAAGCCGAACCTGGCCTCGCGGTCGACGGACACCCGGATGCCGATGATGCCCAGCCCCTGGGGCGACACCACCTGCCCGCGCATCACCGACACGCGGCTGCACAAAGCGTCGGGTAAGCATACACCCAGCAAGAGCTGGCTAGCGGAGAGGCGACGCCGTTCAAATTCGTTTTCAAATCAGAACAGAAGTTTGCGGTTTCGATTGTGTGATTTAAGTTTGAATTCTATAGAATGTGTATGAATAATCTTGTGTGTGATCTGTGTTAGGCAAATGTATAAGGCCTCCAACAATAGGCGCGTTATTATCGGTCGATAATATCGGATGCGTTATCGCGATATCTGTTTTTATGTATGAGAACGGCTACGATATCACACACTTCTGCGATAATAACGACGTAGACAAGAGAAGTATGTTCATCATACTTCTTATCACATCACAATAACGCATCCGATATTATGGATCGATAAAAACGCGCCTATGGGGTTGAGGTCTAATGTCGTCCAGTGTCCCAATCGTAAATAACGACCAAATAAATATGGCCTACAACAGACGGCGTTGTTTTGGACTGCATTGTTCTTGCTCTATGATATACATATTTAATGAAAAAAATGTAAGCAGTTAAAAAAAATCTTTACTTATACTTTTAATTTTTATGCATAGTAAAATTAACTGCTATATTTATCTTTTTCATCATTCTAAAGAAAAATTTACTAGAAAAAAGCTTTAGGTGTAAGATATTTTGAAAGAGTGTAGGACCATAACCGTTCTAAACCGACTTTGACTATTAAAAGTTAATTTGAAATTGATCGTAAATATTTACTCCCGAGTCATGTTTTTCTATGTACTTAAATTCACTATAAAAATACGTTAGGTATTTAGTTCTCATAGTAAAAGCTCTACTTAGTCTGGAGTAAATAGTTGTTACGATTTAAAATAAATAGATTTTGTAGGTGAGACCAGTTTATTATTTTTATATTTCAAGCATTAAACTGATAGATTCAGACAGGATACCCAAACCGAGCGGATTTTTAATTGTTAAAGAAACCTCAAAAATCAAAATCAATCAATCAATATTCATTTATTCAGTTAAGGCTTTTACAAGCACATGTGAAAGTCGAAAGCTACATCATTGGTTCGCAAGTCTACGGCTGTGGAGCCTGTACTGAGAAGAACAGGCAAGAAACTCAGCAAGGGCTGCTTTTTTCTCCCTATATTATTTCATACAGTGTCGTCAAATTTAAAGCTGACATCAAATTTATAAACATGTATTGAGGGCAACTTCCATCATAAAATGTTAAAAAGGTACAATGAGCAAAAGCCCCGAAATATCCAGTACATATGCATGAGCAAGTTTAAAAAAGACACTAAGTGCAAGATTCTCTTCAATACTCCTCTTGAGGAGACACGTTTAATATAACTTTGAAAATTTTCTGAAGGTATCAATTACGACCAGGCGGTTTTACCATTCAAATATTGCTTAACAGTATAATATCCTTTCTTAAGCAAGCAATTTTTAAAGTGTGTTTTAAATTCATTTAGAGGCAAATCAAGAATATCATTGAGAATCTTATTATAGAAATGTATACCTTGACCCAGGAACTTTGTAACCTATGTTAACTTAAGTTTGTTTTTATTCCTAGTATTAAAAGTATGTACGTTACTGTGTTTGAGATAAAATTTAATATTGTTTCGAAAACAATTGTAGATAAATTGCAAAGGTCAAAATCCGGATTTCTTTTAAAAAAAATTTTGAGTGATTCTCTTGAGCCTAGTTGATAAACAACTCTTACAACACGTTTTTGCAAAATAAATATCAATTTAATATCTGCTGCTGTTCCCCAGAGAATAATGGCATAGGATACAATACTCTGAAAGTAACTAAAGTATACAGTCCTAGCAGTATCTACATCAGAAAGTTGCTTCATCTTTCGTATGGCACAAGCCGCTGAAATATGTTTACCAGCTAAAAGTGAAATATGAGGATTCCACTGCAATTTTGTGTCAAAAGTTATACCTAATAATAACGTTCATTCAACTAAATCTGGCTTTTCATTGTTTAATTTAATTTCAACTGGTTCGTTTCTAACATTTGGTAAAGCGAATTTTATGCATTAAGTTTTATTAGCATAAAGTTTTAAATTATTAACATTAAACCAGTGCAATACTTCTGAGAGAGCATCATTAACATTGTCATAGTTATTCTTGGATCTATCAACCTTAAATTATAAGGATGTGCCATCAGCAAGCAATACAATCTCACAGAAATTCTCAACAAAATATGACAAATCGTTTATATACAGTAAAAATAGGAAAGGACCCAAAACAGAACCATGGGGAACGCCCATTAACACATGAGATCCAGATCACTTGACATCATTTACCTTTACAGTCTGAACTCTAGAACTGAGATTCATCACCAGCGTCCGATGCTCAACGCAATCAAAAGCCTTGGACAAGTCACAGAATACTCCAAGAACATTCTGTGACTCCAACCAAGTCTTCAATTTATGCCTAATAAGTGCAATACCCACATCAGTCGTAGATCTCCCTCTAGTAAAGTCAAAATGATTTGTATGTAGTAGTTTATTCAATTTGAAATGTGACATTAATTGATCTAAAATTATTTTGCCGAAACTATTACTTAATACGGGCAATACTAATATAGGTATGTAATTACCGGGGTCCGGTACCGGTTATTTTTTATAGATATTCCCCAAAACTCACACGTATTTTTCTTTATAAGTGATTTAAAACTTTTGATAATATCCATGAATTTAACATGTCTAAACGCAAACGGGACATCACACTGAGGCACACACGTCTCGAGCAAAGTCTTAGCAGCCGCCGGCGATGCATTCAAATGAGAAGTTGTAGTTAGTGGTATGTTAACCAAGTAATAATAATTAAACCGTCAAAAATGTTAGCAACCAGTCCTTTAGATTTTATTTCAATATTATCAACTTTAAGTGAGATACCGTTATCACGTGTTTTTCTGTACTCGTTTCACGATTTATAACATTTTAAGTAGTTATGATTTTATTACTGGAAGTCATGATTTTATTTTTAATGTAATTTGATTTAGCTGTAGCGCAAACCTTTTTGGTGTTTTTGCGTAATGTTTAACGTAATCAACGAAGCCTTGAGAATTATTGTATTATCTTAAGTTATATATTATAAGTTGTTATAATTCATAAAGCTTGTTTCTAGATTTATAAATACCAGTCGTAGCCCAGTCACAGAATTCTTGCTTCTGCGAAAATTTGGTAGTAGTAGTGGGAATGCCATATCGAATTCATTCTTAATTAAATGGAAAAGATCACCATAGAGAATATTAAGATCATCATGTGTCCATGGCATTAGAAAAATCTTATCGTCAATATTTCTACACGCTTTTTAGTTGCTGGCGTTAATTCAATGAACTTGGGCAAACTTATGACATTAATATTATTTTTGTCTAGTAAACTTTTCTTAATATTATATGTTATTTTTAGGCCGTAGTGATCAGACGTAATATTATTAATAATTGATTTACAAGACGGATTATAGTCTGTAAATATATTATCCAAACAGGTGGCTGAATGAGATGTTTACTCTAGCAGGATCAAAAATTTATGGATCAAATTAAAACATTTAAAAATATATATTGTGCGAACTGACATTGCATTGTTTTTAAGAATGTTAATATTAAAATCCCCACATACTATAAGAATTTATTTTTGACTTAACTTCTTGAGATCATTCTCCGTCACTTATTCAAAAATACTAAAGTTACCTAGAGGGGGTTGGCATGGGCGTACGCAGGTGGGGGCAGGGGGGGGCAGCTGCCCCCCCTGGAAATCTCGCAGAACATGTATGAACTCGCCTAATTACTAATCAAAGTGTAAACGGGACCTTATTCTCTTACTTTTAAATAAACCTCGCAGTAGACACTGGCAAAATGCACGGTGAAATTGCCAAAAAACCGCGCGCGACGATGGCAGTCGAAGATTACCGTATCTAGCCGAGCGTTCAAACGCTCGGCTGTATTCGGTAATTTTCGGTAGGGAGTTGCGAGCGCCTAACATTTTATTTTATTTGAAATGTTATTGTTTTGAAGGAGTCAAATCAAACGTAGGAGAGGTGATAAAAAAATAATAATTCAGTGTCTCTACTCCATATCAAAGTATAGAAATCTGTCTAATTGATATTGTGTAGTGATGACACGCACATACATTCTGCTGAGCTATAATAAAGATAGATATGGACATTCGAAATTTTTTTTGTAAGTATTTTTTTCTGTTATTATTTTTAACAATTTATTCGTAAAAGGAAGGAATGTTGTTTGTACCAAAGAAGGGTGTAGTTTACGTAGGTAAGGAAAATTGAGATTATCTTATCGGTTTATTGAGCTAGAACGTATTTAGGTACTTACTTAAGTTTTCTTTATTGTACCTATGGCTAACGAAAGCCGAACCTCGGGTTTTTACATACCTACATCATGCAACTCCAAATAATTTAAATGTGAACTTGCAATTTCACACACACTGTTTATGTTAGTAGACGTGATGTTCTTTATATGGTTTAATTTTATTTCGTTTTTGTTAATCTGTCTGTTTAATGATAATCTATTTCACTCTATTATATAGGTATATAAATAAATATTATGTTGATTTCGAAACATCTTCGATTAAAATGCATTTCGTTTATTGTTAAATAAATTAAAGGGATTGTTGACTAAAATAAAAGGTTCACAAATATGTTCGATTAATTGATTTTTAAAAAATCGTGGCATCCGATTCGATTTCGAATCGATTTGAATTCGAATCATTCATTGTACATTGATAAATACGTATAGATCGAAAATAAAGCCTCTTTTTTAGGTCAATTAAAAGTAGTGATCAGTGAGAATATCAAAACAAATGTATTATTAATTCAGCTAGCTTTCGCTGGTCAGACTACAAAAACATGATTTGTTAGCCTTATTACTTTATTTTGCAGCCACAAAACCAAAAAAGAGGAAAATAATGAGTAATGACTATGAAGATGATTCCAATGTCGGTAAATCTAATGAGGGGGATCCAGCACCAGCATTTGAATCTACATCCACTCTGGAAGATGGAGATAATTTTCATAAAAATGATATCGGGCTATGGGTTGGACGATCTTTCGTAATGACTACCGAGATGCGAATGGAAATGTTAAAGCGATGCTGGGCACCTCCAGAAAACTATGATTACGCTGGTGATGCCGCACATTTGAAACGAAAATTTAATCACTCTTGGTTAGAAATGTACAAACCTTGGCTTGTTTACTCAAAGAAATCGAAAGGTGCTTTTTGTTTGTTTTGCGTTTTATTTCCGCCGAAACTTGTACGTGGTGTACAGGGATCTCTAATTGTCCGACCGTTCACTAAATATAAAGATATACACAGTTATTGTAAAGCACATGTAGAAAGTCAATGGCATAGAGAATCAAGTGCAGCTGCAAATTGTTTTTGCAACGTAAAAACAAATGTACAGGTTGCTTTGCAAACAGGCCACGCAAAACTTATTGATGAGAACAGAAATACATTACAACCTATAGTTAATACAATAATTTTTTGCGGTACTCACGATTTGCCATTGAGAGGAAAAGAAAACGATGAAGGCGTTTTTCGAGATTTGTTAAAACTGAAAATTGATTCTGGTGATGAAGTTTTGCGCAAGCACTTAGAAAAAGGCCATAAAAATGCTCAATATACATCCCCAAGAATACAAAATGAGATTTTAAATATATGTGGACTTCTAATTAGAGAAAAATTGGTCGATGATGTTAAGGCTGCAAGTGCCTACAGCATTTTAGCTGATGAAACAGCTGATATTGCAGGAAAGGAGCAACTATCGATAGGTCTTAGATATTACGATCAAAAAGAAAAAAATATTAAGGAAGAATTTATTGGTTTTGTCGAGTTACAAAAAATGGATGCACAAACAATAGCTACTGAAATTAATAGATTCATCAATTCCTTAAACATTGATGTTAACAAATGCGTGGGACAGGGCTACGACGGATGTGCTACGATGGCGGGAAAAGATGGCGGTGTCCAAAAAATATTGCGAGAAACGTTTAAAAAGGCTTTATATTTTCACTGCGCCTGCCACAAGTTAAACCTGGTAGTAAACGATCTAAATAATGTTCCTGAGATCCGAAACTGCATCGGAACTGTAAAAGATACTATAAATTTTTTCAGGGAATCTGTTTTGCGTCAAAAATATGCACCGAAAATTCCATTGCTGTGTGAAACAAGGTGGTCGCATAAATATAAAAGTATTTCGATGTTTAAAAACCATTTTGTGGAAATTGTGGAAGGTTTGGAAAAGCTTTCACAGGAAGGTAATTCTGGGACAAGAAAAGTAGCTTTCCAATTGTTATCCGCAGTTGGACAAACCACATTCATATTGTCTTTATGTATTATAGACAAATACAATTCGCTGCTGCAACCCGTCGCAAACACATTGCAGTCTAAAACCTTAGACGTAATTAAGTGTGCAGAGCATATTCAAACCATTAAAACAGCAATTGCGGAACATAGGCTTTCTGCCGAGGAAGGCACTGAAGAATTATTGAAATCAGCTAATGAAATTGCTAAGGTTTTGAATCTTGAGCTGCGTCTTCCAAGGACAGCAAGCCGCCAACAATATAGGGCAAATCATCCAGCTGGTTCGTTAAGCGAATATTTTCGTCGATCATTATACGTGCCCTATTTGGATTCACTATCATCCTCATTAGAGGCGAGATTCGATAAGGAACATTCACCAGCGTTTGCTCTTTCATTGTTACACCCTGCTCAAATAATAAAAATTACAGCTCCAGAATTAAGAAAATATATGGACGAAGTATCCAAATTTTATGAAATAGAAGGAATCACATCTGAGGCTGAACTATGGCGCACTTTTTGGGTTAACAAGCAGGAGGACTTCGAAGATTTAGAGATAACAGAATTAATCCAACAATCAGAATGTTTTTATCCGCAAGTGAAAACAGCCCTAGAAATTTTACTGGCAATGCCTTATTCCACGGCTACAATTGAAAGATCATTCAGTACACTCAGACGTGTGAAAACGTGGCTGAGATCAACAATGATTGAAGACAGGTTAAATGGACTTTGTTTGCTCAGTGTACATAAAAAACTTGTTAACAGTATGGGCGATTCTTTCACGGAAGACGTTATAAACCGTTTTGCAGAAGATCCTAGAAAATTACTTTTAAAATAGAAGCGATTTAAATAAAATAAAAATGCATGCAGAGTCAAATTTACTTTTGTTTATTTAACTACCTATAGAGCAGGATCATTTGCGGCTGTTTGCCCTACACACTACTCTTCATATACGTAATGTTTCATGTAGGTGTGTTTATGTAGTGTGTATGAAAAAACAGCCGCGGACGATCAGACCTAAATAATCTGACTTGCCCCCCCCTAGGCCAGAAGCTGGGTACGCCCATGGGGGTTGGTATACACATACTACAATCAACTCACTTAATTCCACGCAGGACAGCTCAATAATACGTTCCACAGAGAGACCGATGTCCTTATATCCTTAGTCTTTATATTCTTATTTACATAAATTAATGAAACACCGTTTATAGCTGGTCTACGTACATATGTACTCATGATTTGAAAACTGTTCACATGAAAAGACATTTCTGAAGACTTAACCCAATGTTCCAATAAACAGATAAAATGGATATCCTGACTCTTTGTAAACATTTCTAATTCTAAATCCTTGCCAACCAAACCTTGAATATTTTGATAAATTATATTAATTTTATTGGATTTGGCTGTTGTCGTACCCCTCAGTTTAAAATTGAGTTGGTCACCCTATTACTAAAATTAATATTTGTATTAGTGTTGGCACTAACACCATATTGTCGTGCAAACTTTGTTATACTATGTATAACTGATTTTTGTACATTGAAAGCTAACAAATATTATTTTACAATTACATCTAGATTGAAAGTTACATAAGCATACATATCTTTTGCTCTTACTTTAGAGCTGGCATTTATTGATTTACCTGGCATACATATATAAGTAATACTTTCATTACAATAATTTCTTAACATTGGACCAAAACCGCCTCCTAATGACCTTTATATAGGAGAGTATTTTAAAAACACAGACATTTCTTTAACATTATTGTTGCTATATTCATGAACTAAACATCCTTACGTACAAAATTTTCAAGAAAGGGTAAATTTAACTTAAGTTTTGAATCTAAAGTTTTCACGCGCACCACTCATTAAATAAAATAAGTTTCAGCGGTGTAGATGCACTGATTTATGTATTTATTGACGTTTCGTTTAAAATAAAATTTATTATTCAAACGATGATGCGAAACGTCAATAAATAAATAAATCAGTGCATCTATACCGTTGAAACTTTTTTTATTGGAAGTCTTGAACAAAATTAGTTAACAGTTCTTGTTGCTAATTTTTCACTGCTTAATGCAAAATCGCACCCACTTCATCTTTTTAGTTAAATGCCGTGTGTACTTTATAGAACCAGAACAGATAATTTTGGAGAACAAAAAAATCAGAACAGGCTGAAACCCATTTCAAAATAAAGAGAATTCATTAAAAAAAAGAGGAATAATAATTTACGCGCTATTTGAGATCGGAAAGGGTGATCTTGTAAAGGGGAAAACGGTTTATCGCGAAAAATATATAACTGGCAAAGTTGTAGATAAAGATTTAGATCTATCACTCTTGTATTCACAGTCTTTTCACAAAACCTAAAAATATCTGCGAAAAATTTAAATTACCAACATTTTGGTTATTTATTACTATTTTTCACGAAATTTTTACCTTTTTATATCTCAAACACATTTTATTTTCTTTTTACATTGGCTTCAAAATATGCATTTACGGAGGTTGTGTACATTGTTGGAAAGTTCAAAAATACGGGCCATACAACGGAATGTGTGGTAAAATGTTTTACCGCACGCTACCATACATTGCGCCGTGCGTATCCTTTACAGGTTCTTTTTTAATTTCGATCAAACCTCGTTGGAAGCGCTTTTAATATATATATTTAATAAGTTATTGATGGCTAATAACAGGTCTCCACGAATAGAAAGGAATCTATATTTCCCCTGGTAATGCCATAAATTCAGAACCGACCGGTTACCGATTTTAATCATCTATTTTTTAAGTTTTCTTGGGCCAACTCATACTGGCGCCGAGTCGAAGCGACACGACGCATCTCGTTTTCCGCCAACAGGCGAAAATATAGATCTATGAAATTATTTTTTTTAAACCAGAAAAATTTGCCTAAGGCTAATATGACCTGTAGTTATTTAAATCCACTGAAACCAACTTTTTTTTTGTATTAACTGAAAATTCCTTGTGTTTCCCATCTATTTCCGTTCAAAAGTTTTTGTGAAAATGTAACAAACATCCAAACATATTCTAAAAATTACAATAATAAAAACCGGCCAGACAATAAAAAAATCGGACTCGCGCACCGAGGGTTCCATACAAGCCTGAATTTACAAAAATATTTTTTATTATATGATGTAAATAAAAATAAAATAAGACGTTACTTCGTACCAAATTTCATGATTCTAAGTTCACGGGAGGTACCCTGTAGGTTTTGATTCCCGTGCGAGTTTCGAAAATTTGCGGCATAAACGGCTGTATCTTTTGATTGCTTTGGCTTAGAAGGCACAGTAGACCTGAGTATTAGGTATGAATTTTAGTTTGATACCTCCACGCGTTCCTGAAAAAAACGATCTTGATAGACGGACGGACGGACGGACGGACAAAAAAGTGATCCTATAAGGGTTCCGTTTTTTCCTTTTGAGGTATGGAACCCTAAAAAGGCTATGTTGCCTTTTTTACTGTAATAAAAATTGGTCCATTAGAAGGAGTATATATTTTTTTATAATTGTTGTTCGCAAATTTATACACTTGGTGAAGACCTGATGAGTACTTTCAGAGATAAACAATGATAAACATATGCATAACATTTGCTTTTTTTATTTTACGAAATATCTAACCAAAAAGTGACTAACAAAAAGAGTTTAATTTAGCAAAATAAAAACCATCGTATTATAAAACGAAACTACAACAATTAAGAAAAAATATACATCGTTTACTTAAATCTATTTATCCTTTATTTAATCTTAATAGACGTTTTTTGACGGACCCAGTATTAAATCTTTTACAAAGATGTGGAACCGATTGTGTACGAGTTTCACTATTAATCAGTTTTTCATGTTATATTTGAGTACGCTGCCAAAACCCCAACCAAGAAGATGCCTCTATTTGGTTGGGTTTTAGGCAACAAGTCATAAAAATAAAAAATAATCAAAGAACCGTCACCACACGGCAACCATCCAGTTTTGACCCCCAATTCACTGGACTTAATTTGTTGCTAGACCTCTAGTCTCTGAATAAGGATCATTTGGACAAGACACGAAAACATATACATACGTAGCTACATTGTAATTTGGTATAGAAATTACAAAAATAGTAATAGTAGTGTTGTCTTCTTTTGACATTCCTATTGACGCATATGAAAAAGACACCAGCACTCTATTTCGCAATATCCGCTACAGTAGTGACAATCTATATCTAATAAACAATTGTGCTCGTGTCGCCATTTTGGCTCCCCATATGGTGTGTGGTTCCCTAGTTTGTTTACAAATAATATTAGGAGGAATTTAAAACCGAGAAAATAATTAAATTAAGGATTTAAACATAAATGTGAAGTGTTCTGTAATTGATTGTAGCCTGTGTCAAAACAAAAATAGACATTACCTAAGTTTTCACCGGTAAGTAACCAATTTAGCTAGAAATTGCTATTTTACATGAAGTTGATCATGAAACTATATTAAAAATACAGCTTAAGAAACCAAAGGTTACAGGGACCAAAACCTGTTGCCTTTCAACGATTTTTTATGTAGTTTACAATAGTAATCTAGCAGTGCTAGTGTTGTACCCCCTCATCGATCTTGGTCTTGTCGATATTTTATTTTCCTTTCATTTTTAGTTTGTCTCGAATGGTACTAATAACTCGCAACAGTGTATTTACCCTATGAATTAATTCAATTTATGAAAAACAATAAACTAACGTAACTAACTAAACTTTAACTTTCCTTAACTTAAATCTAATAGAAAAGCGATTACGTTACTCTAAGATATTCCGAAAGAAAATTATGATAAAAACTTGCATATCTAAATTTTTTCATTTTTTCTTTTCAGTCCACTATAGCCAAATTCACTAACTTAAGTACAAGACCTGTACTAATGGATACACGTAATATTCTTGAAATGGTAAGAAAAATATTCTATTTATATTTCGGTTGCTGCATGTGTATATTTCATCATTTTGTAAAAACTATAAAATATAAAACTCAGCGTCTAGTGAATGTACCATAGTATAGATTTCTGGGACTTATTCACTAGATATAGTTGTAATATTTTATAGTTTTTACAAAATTATGAAATTTACACATGCAATTACCAAAATATAAATAGAATAAATAGATTTCAAAAATTGTATGCAGTGATACCATAGCTCCTTAGCGGACTGGGCCTGCACCCGAAATACCTTACTACATCTTCCATACATCCTGAAAAGGATGCGAAGCGTCAAAAATACAGTAAACAAATATTAAAAACGCATTTATACTCGTTCAAAACTTGTTTCATTTAATGAGTGGTGTACGTGAAAACTTAGAAACAAATATATTTTATTTTGTTTTATGCCTGTCAACCATCCTGCTCAAATAAATCTCATACATCCGTATATACTTAGACTGACCTAGAAATGGTTAGCCGTTTAGTCATTATCATTATTATTATTATAATATACACACAAAGACTACCTCACGAGCGATAAAACCGCCTGGCCGTAATTATTACATTTAGCAAATTTTCGATGTTATGTTAAACTTGTCTCCTCAAAAGGAGTATTGAAGTGAACCTTGGACATTGTGTCTTTTATATACTTGCTTATTTATTTTGAAAATTGTTTACTGGATATTTCGTGGCTTTTGTATATTTATTGTTTCCTATTTTACATTATGTTATGAAAGTTGACCTCAATAAATGTGTATAATTTTGATGTTAGCTTTCAATTTAACGACACTGTATGAAATAAGACAGGAAGAAAAAAGCAGCCTATGTTTCTTGCCGGTTCTTCTCAGTCTACAAGGTCTCCCGCCGTAGATTTGCGAACCGACGGCGTAGCTTTCGACATTCATATGTGCTTGTAAAAGCCTAAACGGAATAAATGAATATTCAATTTTTTGAATTTTAACATCTGAAATAATTGTTTATAATTAAAACTTGAATTTTATTTTAAATAATATATCATCGATATGCCCTTGAGTAACTTTTAGTTTTATATTGTAATAACGATTTATTAAAGTTAATAAACACCAGCCTTTATCATATTGTGCACATGCAGACGAATAACGAAAAGGTTTGTGAAATTTAC